GTCCAGCAGTGGACGTCATTTGGCTGAAACGACGAGCTACCCGGTATTACAGGAGAAACATCAGTGTAGTCACATAATAATGATGATGCTGGATGAGAGCTTATGTCATTTTGTTGTTTAATATCAATGAAATAAATAAGTGTAACGTAAATAAGTAAGAACCCAGCCTCTTATTCAGACCTAACACCTGTACAATAGGCAGGAGGTACTGATGCCTCATCACAGTTCTCTTCTATCAATCGGTGAGCAGCTAGGCAGAAGGTAAGTATTAATGTTTTATCATAGTACCTACTTATCTATTTATCTATTTTCAGTTGGGCAAGTGCGGTGGTGCGCTACAACGCGCGCTAAGCATTAGCGTTGCTTTTAGGGCACCCACCCACTCAGCCGCCGACGACGCAGGGTTGCCACAAACCTTTTACCGCTACCAATTTTAGAAATGTTCAAATAAATATGGAAATATGCGACAACAGATACATCCCGTCTGGCTAGCATGGGGGTGTAGGGTAAATCCTTTATTTGCTTATAGTAAATTAGAGAGGGTCGTTTCCCTGTAGAAAATTATGATGATGACCAAAGGAAAATTCTATATTATTAATAACGGAGGAAACTTTGAACTAATTTTATGTGTTTCTGATTAAATTATTTGCTGGTTCCAAAACAATCAACTCTTGACTATTTCCCAGGACTATTCAAACTTCACTGGTCGAGTTTCATTGGCATATAACCTGTAGACTAGCTACACAGGAGTTGCAGTGGGAACGAGAAGTGGGATTAGTCCCTTATTGTGTACTTGTCAATTCTTCACAGTCATCATTTCAGCCACAGGACGTTCACTGCTGAACATAGGTTTGGATTATTTCCACATCGCCCGGTTGGTAGCGGCCCGCATTCGCCTTCCTGCTACCTTTATGAGATTGTTGGTCCACCTTGTGGGTGGACGTTCCACGCTGAGTTTTCGAGTACGTGGCCTCCACTCAAGAACCTCGCTGCCCCATCGGCCGTCGGTATTCATACTTCGCAATCGTATCAGAAAATGTTAACCGGTAAGTGCCAGCCCTGCCCTCCGTCAATTCCCGCGGTCTGCCGTTTCCGCCGGGAGTGCCGTATACCTAGTGTTTTGTGCCTCACACCTCCCTATGTACTCCGCTTTATATCGAAAGGCTGTCTCCACACACCGCACTATATGCAGTACAATATCGTTGCGAACTGAATCTTCGAGACCGCGTATTTGACAAATAGCTCCCTTTTTGAAAACTAGATGGCGCTGTCTTGAGTTACAGCGCGCAATCGAAGTGTTTTTACATTTAATAAGTCTTTAAACATTAACAAAGGCTCTGGAATAAGTTGTCTTCGATGGGAGTGCCGTATACCTAGTGTTTTGTGCCTCACACCTCCCTATGTGCTCCGCTTTATATCGCAGGGCTGTCTCCACACACAACACAATAGATTACACTGACGTTATTTGACGCATATTGTAAATACGAATTTAATTTTTTGAAAACTAGATGGCGCTGTATCGAGTAATAACGCGGTGTCAAATATTTGTAGTCTAGATTGTTCCTAAAGATTTATAAACGCTCTGAATCCAAAGTATTAGTGTTTTGTGCCTCACACCTCCCTATGTACTTCGCTTTATATCGGAAGGCTGTCTCCACACACCGCACTATATGGAGTACAATATTGTTGCGAACTGAATCTTCGACTATGTGTATTTGACGAGTATCGTAGTTATAAGTTTCGCTTTTTGAAAACTAGATGGCGTTATCTTGAGTTATAACGCGGTATCAAAGTATTATTTAGGTAATCTAAAAGTTTTTTTTAAAAGTTATTCCATGATTTCGTCAGTATGCCTTCAATCAAAAACGAAAGCCACCTAACATCGACATCTCGGAGTTGCTTATTATAAATAAGGTTAAAAATAAGAAACTTTGCTGTGGTGTAAACACAGCTTTAGGCAAAGTAGAATGTGCATCGATTGACGTACGTTTCCATATAGAAATTGATAGAAAATATAAAGTATCGTAGAAGATACATAAACAACTAGCTGACCCGGCGAACTTTGTTTCGCCTTAATGGCAATAAATAAGCAGACTTTTTTTTTATTTCGAACGGGATAAAAAGTATCCTATGTCCTTCTCCTGGCTCTAAACTACCTCCCTGACAATTTTCAGCTAAATCGGTTCAGCCGTTCTTGAGTTATAAGTGGAGTAACTAACACGACTTTCTTTTATATATATAGATATGTATATCTGTATCATCCGATCTTGTTCAGGCGAAATTCCATTTCAGCACTTCTATACATACAAAGTCTCCTACTTGAAATCAAGCAAAAATGGTCTAAAATCTATAGTCTCATCTTTTGCCCACGGTTTCGTTCTATAGTTCAATAGTTCGTTATCCGTTCAATAGTTTTTTGCGTGAAAGAGTAACTAATACACATCCATACATCTACAATTTCGCATTCATAATATTAGCAGGATATCATTATTATCACTTGTCGTTAATACCTTGACAACTTTTGGTTAAAAATCTTTAATCTTGGCAAGCAAAAATTTTGTAAAAAAAAACAGTAAACCAAAGACAAACTTTTCCAACTGCCCTAACTTTAACACGTGACGTAACAAACCATCAAGCCATGATTGGCCGAACTACTTAGCTCGACTTGGCTAACTTTTTACCCTGTCGTAAAACAACAAGATTACAGTTGGGAAAAGGTTGACATCAAAACTAACGGCCGGAAAACGTCACTACCCCTTTCATTTTGACGGTAATTTGACGTAGAAGGGTAGAATCTTTATAGTTTTGGATAAAGAAATAACAATAAACTATGGATTTTATGGAAGAAGTTTTTTGTTGGAAAATGTTTTGGGAAAATTGATATTATGCATAAAAAAAAACAATTATTTTCAAATAAAATAACAACTGAAGTTGATGAAATTTCGTCTCATCTCCAGGACGGCTGGACTGATTTTATTAGAGCCGATAAAAATTAAGGTCCACGTACAAAATACGTATGATGTACCTACTATTTGTAGCCATTATCGCAATAAGATGTTCAGAAATCGAGGCCAAAGTTGTTAACGATATCATTATATCGCAAATTGTAAGTTTCCTTTTAATTTTTAAATAAAATGTAATTTTTCATACTGTTAGATAAAAAAACGCAATTTTGAAACTTGTAACGCCATCTATGAGAAACCTTAAAACTAATCCAGCACACTTGCAAGTGAGAACAGACAAAAAACATTAACAAGAATTTCACTACTCTGACACTAGATGGCGTTAATTTCAGTAGGTGCGAGTTGCTTTTCTACCCCTAGTAGTCTATCGAGTTTGGAACTAGATGGCGCTGTACAAAATTACAAAGAGTATTGTTTCATGACTTCAGCCCCCCTAGACAAGTTGCACTTTTTGATCAAATCGAAAATCGAATCCGTTATAAGTCCATACAAAAAAAGGCCTTTCCACCGTTTTTCGATTATAGATGACCCACGCTGAACTGTCCCACCAAACTCAATGACAGGGGGGCGCTACCATCGTTCAACTATATGGTTTCCAACATGACAAAAATCTGAACCAGCGATCCGGTATTAACGGTGGCGCCCCACTGTCAATGTCATCGACAGGACAGTCCAGTATTTTGGAACTATATAATGTGCACTTGGTTTATATCCACAGCAATAAACAACTAAATGACTTCTTGGCGGGAATCTGAAGCGTCATGTTAGCGGTTTTGTTTTATTTCCTCAAATTCGTGTTTGGGCGACTATTATTGTGTAATAATGGTGGATTATTAACCATTAAGTGTTCGTGAACGTGCATGAGTGTGGGCAAGTGAAGCAAAACAGTGCATCGTGATTCTTCTGGTTCTGTCAAGTTGTCCATAGGAGGTCTCAGTAAGGCACCACAACTTTACTGAGACTCAAGGGGTGGGAAGGGGTATCATCTATCATCCTTCATTATATCATTACTTGATCTCATTTTGTAACTCGTAATCACATAAATACTTGAAAATGGCACAAATCAAGTCGACCTCGACGTGTATTGCCAACATCATCAAAAAGAAGAAGAAGAAACAACTAAATGCCACTTGTAACATATTAATCTTCAGTACTAGATGGCGCTATATCACATATTCAATGTATTCAACTCACCAGCTGTTCGCTGAGCAGCGTGACGAGGTGCACGGTGGTGTTGGTAAATGGCTAAAGTCACTGTATAAAATCAAGGTTAGGCACTAAGCCTATAATTATTCTAATTTGGATGAAGAATCGGCCGATCCAAATTTAGATGATGAAAGCAATCGTTTCACGTCTTCGGAACTAGATGGCGCTATATCACAAGTTCAATGTATTCAACTCACCAGCTGTTCGCTGAGCAACATGATAAGGTGGACCGTGGAGTTGGTAAATAGCCCAAGCCTAGGGTAGGCACTAAATGGCTATTATTTCACGTCTTCGGCACTAGAAGACACTATGGAACATGATCAAGAATAAAGTTCAACGTCTTCAGCACTAGATGGCGTTGTATAAAGTATATTATCTCACCAGCTGTTCGCTGAGCAGCGTGACGAGGTGCACCGTGGTGTTGGTAAATGGCTAAAGAGTCACAGTATAAAGCCAAGGATAGGCGCTAAATGTCGCTTTATGAAAGTTATTCTTTCACGTTTTCGACACTAGAAGACACTGGAACATGACCAAGTTTTGTTCGACGTCTTCAACACTAGAAATGGTAAATAGCCCAAACCTAGGATAGGCCCTAAATGGCTATTGTTTCACGGTTTCAACACTAGATGGCGCTATATCACACATTCAATGTATTCAACTCACCAGCTGTTCGCTGAGCAGCGTGACGAGGTAGTGGACCGTGGAGTTGGTAAATAGCCCAAGCCTAGGAATCTTATCCTATCCTAGGCTAGGATAGGCACTAAATGGCTATTGTTTCACGGTTTCAACACTAGATGGCGCTATATCGCATTTTCAATGTATTCAACTCACCAGCTGTTCGCTGAGCAGCGTGACGAGGTGGACCGTGGTGTTGGTGGTAAGAAGGTAGGCGGCGCTGACGGCGCAGCCGCCTACTACCCGCGACACCACCGTCACCGCTGTCGCCAGCAGCCTGGGAACACAAATTGGGTAAGATAATGAGTTCTTCTTCTTCTTATTCGTTACGCTCCTGGCAGAGCGGTCGTGGTCACGTTGAGGCGTTGTTCACATCGGTTGTATAGTCTGGTCCGTGAGCACGTAGAATTTTGTCCAATGACCCCTAGCTACCCATCCTTATCGCTCGCGCGTAATTATGTTGCTGTCGCGCTCGCATACTCACTGCGGGTGCCAGTCGCACAGTCGCGACAGCAACATAATTACGCGCGAGCGATAAGGATGGGTAGCTAGGGGTCATTGGACAAAATTCTACGTGCTCACGGACCGGGCTTTAGAGGCGGATACAACTCTCCGCACGATCTCCCGCCATCTCTCTCTATTGGCAGACTGTCTGGTGCAGTCACATACGGTGTCACTGCTGATTTAACTTGGTCGGTCGAGCGCATTGGTGACCTGCCACGCGATCGCGTGCGCAAGATATAGAGTTATTTTAGCACAATAACGACGTGTGATGGCGTGCCGATTTCTGTCCGGATCAGCGTCGGGCCGGTTCGGGCAGAAATCGACTCGTCGACGTGCACGAGCCGACTTTCAGTCACCGAAATCTGAGGGTTTCCTCAATGAGGGCTGTCGTTTTTATACTTGATAGTTGGCAGCAGTGGCGCGTGACAGTCTGGTGAATGCTAAAACAGTGACGTCAACTAGTGAGCGCTAAAACGATAGCCTTCATTACGATCGCCATTGGCGAGTAAAATAATCTTGATCGAAAACGACTCCAAAAAAGCAAAATTAAGTATTGAATCACCCAATTTGCTTCGAACGGTCTTAAAAACTAAATGAGTAATGAAGATTAATAAAAAATGGTCTCATTTTTAAGGTTAAAGTATAAGCCTAGGCGCAGACCGTCGATTTTTAGTTGGCCGATAGTTTAGTCGGGCACTTAACAGTATGGGCATGTATGGAAGTGCGCATTTGATTTGGCCGATTCTTCATACAATTTAAAATCGGGCACAACTATCGGCCAACTTAAAATCGGTGGTCTGCGCCTAGTCTAAACAGAGTATGGCGCGCACGCACACACAAAATTTGGGGGCAACTCCCCGCTAATCCCCGCTAAATTTTGTCAGTGTGTGAGTGCGCGCCGCATACGTATTGGCGCGCGCTCACATACAAACCGCGCTCGGTGCGTTTCTATGAAGATGACCTACTCATTTGTATTGACCGGCAGANGCGCTCACATACAAACCGCGCTCGGTGCGTTTCTATGAAGATGACCTACTCATTTGTATTGACCGGCAGACAGTGGTGACTGAGTTTGTTGCGGCGCTTCTTCTCAGCACTTGCCAAATGTTGGTCTCGAAGCGCTGGTAGGGTAAAAAGATTATGAGACATGTAGAGGCTCCTTAAGAGCAAAATGACGATTTGTAAGAACTATTTATTAGTCCAAACAAATAAAGAAATTTTGACTTTGACTTTGACTTTGACTTTATTTACACTGGTCTAAAGCAGCGACTTACTTAGCAGTGAGCTGCGAGGCCAGCTCCTCTCTCTCCGCAGCGACGGCTAACAACTGCCCGAGCAGCTTGAGCCCGTGGATCTTTTGGAACACGATCTTGTCACTTGAGTTCTGTGGGGAATACAATTCAGTTAGTCTTGGAACATAGAAGCACGGTAATACTATCTATACAGTATTCCAACTCGGCCATATTTTTGAAATAAATGTCAAAAGTCGCGCGGTACGTCACAGTATGACATCATGCGATAGGGCTGCCCACCTACATTACCCAGTTTAATTGCCTATTTAGAATTTCTATCTAGTTTTGTGATTGTAGTTTTTTATTTAGTTAGACAAACAAAATACTTTGTGAATGGAATATGTTAAAAATGTGTTTGTTTTGTGATTAGTAGATTGAATTTAGGAAAAACTACTTAAAGAAAAACTATTTTGAAACTTTAATAATCATAATAATCTGTTACTTTAATTTTGGGCGGGCGAAGTCGTGGGCAAAAGCTGGTTTAATACAATATAATTTTCATTTCAAATCAAACTGTCTGAAAATGTCAATTTGACTAGTTTTTGACCAATTTGACCGTAAATGACGGTCAATCAAATTCAATCAGTTTTGTCATTTTTAACACTTGGCCACCGACGTCCATTCGGTACATTCGCGACACCCCCGACTTTTGCATACCGAGCGCATACCGAGTTTTGAATTTCGAAAGAAAGTTCTCGTTTCGTCTGTTTATATGAAGTTACAATACTGTATGATATTATTACCGTGATAGAAGCGTTGTCTAACTCCATTATACAGGGTGGAATTTTGTAATGCCACCTGGAGGGAAAGTACTCTTAATATTGTAGATAGAAAAAAATTCTCAAAGAAAACATTCCTTCATTTTTGAAAAGAAATAGAACTGCATTCAAAGATTTCCAAAAATTTGCTTGCCACACCCGGGAATCGAACCAACTAAAATCTGTTAAAAATTACACCTTGTATTTTTATTGCATCGATTGTTACTCGTAAAGGTCAAGTATAAGGATAAAATCTCTCTAACAAACTTGATAAATCAAATGAAAGGAAATCCATAAAATCTTAAATTATTTTAATCATGTACAGAAAATTGTATAGTATGGTAGTGAATTTTCAAAAAAAATTCGAGACTATGAATACAGTTCTTTTTCTTTTCAAAAATAAAGGAATGTTTTCTTTCAGTAAAATTTTCTATCTGCAGTATTAAGAGTACTTTCCCTCTAGGTAGCATTACAAAATTCCACCCTGTATACCTTAGGGCTCTCGCCCACGGCGATGATGTCAGCATCGCTACTAACGCGCGTTAGTCGCATTAGCAACGCACTACAGAAGTGATGCCAACGCGCTACTAATATGTGCTACAGCAGCGCGACTGCATCGCTACAAAAAGTCGCCGTGGGCGAGGGCCCTTAACTTTTCTAAATAACTGCTACTTACGACACAATGGTATAGTAGATAGTTTGGAGAAGCATAATAAATTGCAAATTTGGATATTATTTTTTCATAAATATTTAAAAGAATAGGACATAACTCTCTACCAAGTGGTGACTGCATTTTTGTCACCATATTTGACTGTTTATAAAAATAAATTAATAAGGGAAAATGCATAAATAAAAATGGTTAATTCTTGGTATTCGAAAAACCGTTCTAGAAAAAGAAAAAAAACGATATCGAAGCAAATATACCATACATATTTGAATTTTCACTTACCCTATCAAACTTCTCCATAAGCCGATTGAGTTCATTCAACTGCCTCTCCAGCATCGGTACATCAATCACTATATTAGCCTTCCGCTCACTCTTATTGCTCGCTCGGCTCATATCGCTCAGCGAGCTACACACCGAGTTCGCTTTGCTCAGTTTAGGTTCCTTATTCTTTCGTTTCTTCTTCCCTCCATTGGAACATTCTGGAGGAACGACTTCAGTATTATTATTGTTTTCTGCTTCGCTTCTATTTTCAGGTTCGGGCGATTCTTTCTTTTTTTTTCTTTTCTTTTTCTCTTCTAGACCGTTCTGGTAGTCGCTGCGTTCGATGGAGTCGAGCAGAGGGTTGATTATGTTGGAGAGGGTGTGGATGGTTTTGTGCAGTTTGCCCGTCGTAGGGTATAATGGCTCGAACGGAACGATCGTGTGATCGGTGAATATGTCGTTTACGTTGCCACTGGAAAAAAGAAATTCATTAGGATAGGAAGTGATAAAAAATAACATACTATGTAGCAACCATAATGATCTAAATCTTCTATCTTCCACCTTGATAATAATACAAATATCTCAAGCACATAGTTGCGCTCACCAGTTGGCGCCACTGCAAGGCCGCCCTATGCCTTGTAGCTAATGGCCAAGATAGTAGCGTCAACCAGTACTTAAGCACAAATACAGTAGCCCTAATAGTTGATACAGAACAGACATACATATTTTCAAAGCTGTGGGAAACATTGTAGGTACCCCGAAAGTGTATGTATAAAAGGCCATGTATGTGGCATACACCGATTTAAACCTGTCCGAACTGACCTATTAAGAAGTTGGTCTAATCGTTTTTTATTTACAATTTTTTATCACTTAAAATTATTTGATACTAGCGTAACGATACGTTTTATCCGTTCTTAGTGAACACCTATGTATTAAAAGGAACGCCCATGCAAAATTTGAGACTCCTTGCACTTATCCTATAGTTTCTGGGATTTCGTGATGAGTGAGTTCAATTGCCGCCTTAGGCAGTTCGATTTTTTCACGTTATTTATAATTTTCAAATGAGTGAGTGAGTCAGTCAATCAGTGACCTTTCGCTTTTATAAATATAGATAGATTCTACTTACGAAGCCAGCAGTTTCTGCTTGACCTTCCTGGCCTTTTTCTTGATGGCTTTCTGCTTCTCTCGCTCCTTTCTCTCTTGTTCCAGCCTCTCTGCTTGCTCGGCTAGTTCCCTCTCTTCCTTTGTGCTTTGGTCTTGGCTTTCGGAGGTTGTCTGAAAGTTAACATACACATTATTACTGCAACTGGCAGCATATAGCAAGATCTACCAGATCTTCCACCTGAAAGATGGACCGACGACCTCAAAAGGTAGAAGGAAGGCACTGGATGGAAGCCGCTACCAACCAGGCGATGAGGAATTTGGAACATTGGGGGCGGCCTATGTTCAGCAGTGGACATCCTGTGGCTCAATTGATGATGATGATGATGATCAGATCCTGATCCCGTTTAAGTGTTGTTGCATAAATCGGTTAGTGTATCGATTAATAAATCTAGCGCTCACCTGTCTAGCGACCTGTATAGTAACTCTTGGCCTGTATAATCAATCATTCACCAACATAATAAGTCACAAGCGCGGGGGCATAATCGATATCGATTAATAAGTAATACTACATACGCTGGTATACGGTATACGTCACGAAGCGAGAGTTGAGACCACACCATACCACCTGTATTCTGCCACCTATGTCTTACAAATCGTGTGTCGTGGCACCTTTATTGTCACGACTAATGCTGAGCCAAGGGCTTTTTTGGCACAGAACACTCAGCCATTTTTATTTTTATTTAATTGTGTTCTATGTTTTTTTTTTGGTCATTTATGTATTAAAATTTAAAATTAATATTGTATTGTGTGCTAATTAAATTATGTTTTATTCTATTTCGATTTGATTACACTTACCGCCTGCCTAGGCCCAGTAGTGGCCTTCTCCCGGATGGCCTGTAGATGGGACTCCAACCGCTGCTGGCTCGCGTCCTGCTTGTCGCGGATGCGGGAGCGTAACGCGTCCGCTTCTAACTCCGCTGCCGCCGCTAATGCTGAGAGACGGGACTTTACGCCTTCCGCCTGTGGAAATAAGGGTCATATTTATATAAAAAAAAATACACAAATGGCTAAAGAGTTGCAGGAAAATATGAGCATTTCAACAACAAATACAATACAACTCAACTCAAAATTCACTGGAGAACGTTATCAGTCACACTATCCCGCTAGTGTCTCACACCTGCCCCGCCAGTATCCCACATTTATTTTGTCCCTAGGTATAGAATACTTGGGGGGCCAATGTCCCGGCCGGTTTACCTTCTCCTTAGCCAATCGATGGGGCTCATGCCTCTTGAGCTGGTCCAGCGTGTCTCGCCTGGCGTCCCGCAGCTTGCGGCGCTCCACTAGTGTTCCACAACCACCCCACTAGTATCCCACACCTGTCCCACCCGGCTCACGTTCTTAATGTCCCGTTCTTTACCTTCTCCTTAGCCAATCGATGGCGCTCATGCCTCTTGAGCTGGTCCAGCGTGTCCCGCCTGGCGTCCCGTAGCTTGCGGCGCTCCACTAGTGTCCCAAACCTGCCCCGCTAGTATCCCTATACCTCACACCTGCCCTGATGGTGACATATGAGGGCATCTGTCCCGCTACTCACCTTTTCTTTAGCCAAGCGATGGCGCTCATGCCTCTTGAGTTGGTCCAATGTGTCCCGCCTGGCGTCCCGCAGCTTGCGACGCTCCACTAGAGCCTCCACGCGGCGGCGGCGCGCTGCCTCTAAGGCCTCCCGTCGGGCGCCCACGGCGGCCTCGCGGGCTGCCTTTTGTTCCTGTGGAAGAACAAACAAAGTCATCAATCGTCAAAGAATCAAACGATCAAACGTCAATGAGGGCTATCGTTTTAGCGCTCACCAGTTAGCGCCACTGTAGAGTAAGGTCCTGTCACTTGCTAGCAGCGAAGACAGTGGCACCAACTGGTGAGCGTTACAGTGGTAGGAGGACTATAGCATTTGCACTCATCAAGATGGCGCCACTGTAGAGTAAGGTCCTGTCAATCGCCAGGGGTGCCAACTGTTAAGTATAAAAACGATAGCCCTCATTAATACTCAACTGTTCAGTGACCTGGTATAATATAATCAATGAGGGCTATTGTTTTTATACTTAACAGTTGGCACCCCTGGCAATTGACAGGACCTTACTCTACAGTGCCGCCATCTTGATGAGTGCAAATGCGATAGTCCTCCTACCACTTTAGCGCTCACAAGTTGGCGCCACTGTCTTCGCGACTAGCAAATGACAGGACCTTACTCTACAGTGGCGCCAACTGGTGAGCGCTAAAATGATAGCCCTCATTGCTCAAAATTCAATGACTTGTACACACACAACCATTGAAGATCAGGTCAAACTAAACGCAGACCGCTCTCTCGCGTCAAATCCGGCGCAGGCACTGGTCACTCGAAAGTTTAGTGACCTGTATTTCCAATCACTCACCACTCTAATGCACTGTATAATTAATCAATCACTCAGCTTAATGAACTCGAGGAAATCGTGGCATCTGTTCTCTGCTTATAGCTTAATGAATGCAATCTTGCGCAGTTATCACACACTGGATCACCGACCTGTATAGTCAATCACTCGAAGCTTTTTTTTCTTCGGCACTTTATGAGTTTTTGGTTAAAGTACCTACTAATGTGCTCACAGTTGATTGAACTTCGGAAATACTGAGCGCAAATGGCGTTTGATTGCAGTCTGCCAATGGATACAGTCTGCTACCAAACGTGAAATGCGAGAGATCAAACAATACATTTGCATGCTATGTTTTGTTGATCCCTTTGAGTTGATGGACTATTAAGCGATCTGTATTATCAATCGTGTATTATCCATTAATCACTCACCAACTTAGTGAGTCTCTCGCGCCGCATCTGTCGCAGGCGCATGGTACGACGTGAGCGGTACTGGTCACTCAATAGTTCAGTGACCTGTATAGTCAATCACTCACCACTATAAAGCCCTGTATAATTAATCACTCACCAGTTTAGTCAGTCTCTCACACCGCATCTGCCGCAGACGCGTGGTGTGCGAGCGACACTGGTAAAGAAAATCGTGTCGTCTGTTTTCAGCTTCAAGCTGCTTTATGACCGCGATCTCACACAGTAATCACCAATAATCACTAAACGGTTCGGTGACCTGTATAGTCACTCACTATTCTAATGCGCGGGGCATTATAATCATTCACTTGTCTAAAGCCCTGTATAATCAATCACCCACCAGCTTAGTGAGTCTCACATGCCTCATATATCGCAGGTGCGTGGTATGTGAGCGGTACTGTACTGGTCACCCAACAGTTTAGTGACCTGTATAGTCAATCACTCACCACTCTAAAGCCCTGTATAGTCAATCACTCACCAGCTTAGTAAGTCTCTCGCGCCGCATCTGTCGCAGGCGCGTGGTGTGCGAGCGACATTGGTCGAGGAAGTCGTGACGTCTGTTCTCAGCTTCAAGCTGCTTTATGAACGCAATCTCACGAAGTTATCACTCAACGGCCAGTGAGTCAATCACTCACCAATTTAGTCAATCTGTTACCAGTGCACCGACCTATACATATAGTCGATCCTTCACCACTATAATGCCCTGTATAGTCAATTACCTTTGTCTTAAGCCCTGTATAATCAATCACTCACCAGTTTAGTCAGTCTCTCGCGCCGCATCTGTCGCAGGCGCATGGTATGACGTGAGCGGTACTGGTCACTCAATAGTTCAGTGACCTGTATAGTCAATCACTCACCACTCTAAAGCCCTGTATATTACTAATATAAAAATGCAACTTATCTTTCACTAATAATTAATTTAATTAATTAATTATTTGTCGGCCGTTTGGTGTAGTAGTTCTAAAAGGGACTACTATGCCGAGAGGTCCCGGGTTCGATTCCCAGCCGGGCAGAAATTGAAATGATGAATTTTAATTTCTGTGATGGGTCTGGGTGTTACTAGTATAATATGTATGTATTTAAAACGTATATAATGTAGTATATCCGTTAAGCGAGCACCCATAACACAAGCATATTAATTGCTTACTATGGGGCTAGATAGCGTTATGTGTGAAATTGTTCAAAAATATTTATTATATTTATTATTATTATTAATTTAATACTCTTTACACTACTAATTTTTTGTATTATTTAATTTTACATCACTTAATACTTCCTTTTAATCTAGAATTTGTGGCCCGATGGCCTTTGTAAAGAACAAAAGGTAGACAAATAATTGAATTTAAAAACACATGCTAATATAATCATAATTATACCCTGAAAGTTTCACTTCAAACCGGTAACTCTAACACATACGAATTTCAACTCAAAATCTTGGGCTGATAGGACTATAACTATAAGTCCTATAAGAAGGACGGTCGGGTCGTAGTTAAAGAGGATCCAAAAAATCCGTGGGCGCTACGAGGCTATAATGCCCTGTATAGTCAATTACTTTTGTCTTAAGCCCTGTATAATCAATCACTCACCAGTTTAGTCAGTCTCTCGCGCCGCATCTGTCGCAGACGCATGGTATGTGAGCGGTACTGGTCACTCAATAGTTCAGTGACCTGTATAGTCAATCACTCACCACTCTAAAGCCCTATAGTCAATCACTCACCAGTTTAGTCAGTCTCTCGCACCGCATCTGTCGCAGGCGCATGGTATGACGTGAGCGGTACTGGTCACTCAATAGTTCAGTGACCTGTATAGTCAATCACTCACCACTCTAAAGCCCTGTATAGTCAATCACTCACCAGTTTAGTCAGTCTCTCGCACCGCATCTGTCGCAGGCGCATGGTATGTGAGCGGTACTGGTCACTCAATAGTTCAGTGACCTGTATAGTCAATCACTCACCACTCTAAAGCCCTGTATAGTCAATCACTCACCAGCTTAGTAAGTCTCTCGCGCCGCATCTGTCGCAGGTGCGTGGTGTGCGAGCGACATTGGTCGAGGAAGTCGTGACGTCTGTTCTCAGCTTCAAGCTGCTTTATGAACGCAATCTCACGAAGTTATCACTCAACGGCCAGTGAGTTAATCACTCACCAATTTAGTCAATCTGTTACCAGTGCACCGACCTATACATATAGTCGATCCTTCACCACTATAATGCCCTGTATAGTCAATTACTTTTGTCTTAAGCCCTGTATAATCAATCACTCACCAGTTTAGTCAGTCTCTCGCGCCGCATCTGTCGCAGACGCATGGTATGTGAGCGGTACTGGTCACTCAATAGTTCAGTGACCTGTATAGTCAATCACTCGCCACTCTAAAGCCCTGTATAGTCAATCACTCACCAGTTTAGTCAGTCTCTCGCGCCGCATCTGTCGCAGGCGCATGGTATGACGTGAGCGGTACTGGTCACTCAATAGTTCAGTGACCTGTATAGTCAATCACTCACCACTCTAAAGCCCTGTATAGTCAATCACTCACCAGTTTAGTCAGTCTCTCGCACCGCATCTGTCGCAGGCGCATGGTATGTGAGCGGTACTGGTCACTCAATAGTTCAGAGACCTGTATAGTCAATCACTCACCACTCTAAAGCCCTGTATAGTCAATCACTCACCAGCTTAGTGAGTCTCTCGCGCCGCATCTGTCGCAGACGCGTGGTGTGCGAGCGGCACTGGTCAAGGAAGTCGTGTCGTCTATTCTCTGCTTCAAGCTGCTTTATGAAAGCAATCTCACGCAGTTTCTCTTCTTCGTCGTGAGCTTTGCGGACTATATCCTATGGGGATACAAAAATAATTGTATGTAGATATGTTTAGGGGAACATTTTAAGGCCATTCACTAGCCTGTAACAGCGTATTACACTTGAAAGTTTTGACGAGTTTTGACACCTGGCAAGCGGAAGGTCGTGGGTTCGATTCCCCCCTTAGGCAGTTCGACTTTTTCAAGTAGTTTATTTAAAATTTAGTTTGAGAAGCGATTCTAATCGCTAAGAAATTTTAATTACTGTTTCATTAGGCCAGGATCAGGTAACCAGGTCAGGTATTTCTATCCCAGACCTGTGAGAGATAAGATCTAATAGGGTATGAGTGAGGAGTTAGGTTGAGGAGGCGGTTAAGTACTTAGAACCTGCCTACACAGAGTTGCAATGGTGGAAACCAGAGTTCCGTATATTTCAAGTCCAAAAGACCGAAGTCAGAGTAAATACAAATGAGTAGGTCATCTTCATAGAAACGCCCGAGCGCGGTTTGTATGTGAGCGCGCCAATACGTATGCGGCGCGCACGCACACACTGACAAAATTTAGCGGGGATTAGCGGTGAGGTGCGCGATGAAGATGACCTACACATTTGTATTTACTCTGCCGAAGTGGTGAAACAACCTAACTAAACTAAAAAAAGGTTCAAATAAAATGATGATATTGAAATACCTTCAAGTGCTGATCCCTGTTCTCTGTGGCTTTTTGAAGCCTTTTCTCCATTCTTAACCTCTTTTCTTCGATCAATTGGTTTTTGGCTACCTGTAATAAAAATGAAAAACATATTAATTTTAGATTTGATTTAAATCTTTTTACTCATGCATTTTTTTTTTTATCCACAACGAGAAAGCTCTTGGCTTGCATCTCATCTGATGGAAAGTGATGATCAGGCCCAAGGTGGAAGCGAGCTTCAGCCGGAATCCTCAACCACAGAAGAACTGGTTATCTTACCTCTAACTGCCTTAACTCTATCTTATTTCTGATATCATCAGAAACATAGCTGAAATACTCCACCACCTTTTTCATTCATCTTACCTTGACTTCTTCAACTCTAGCTAACAGCTGGTGAATTTTCTTAGCCCTCTCAGTTTGGTATTCCAACCGTTGACGTTCGGCACGCGCTTGCTTCGCTTGCAGCCTTAGCAATGCATCTTGGAGACTACTAAGTAGCTTTCTTATGATAAGCGAGTCTTTCTTCAATCAGTCACGGACACTATTAAAGACTTAGCTGAAATACTCCACCCCCTTTTTTGACATCTTACCTTTACTTCTTCAACTCTTGCCAACAGCTGGTGAATCTTCTTTCCCCTTTCAGCCTGGTACTCTAAACCTTCCTTCGCAGCCTTCGCATTGCATTTTGGGAATCTGCCACATCGCATTACTCTACACAAAATTTCTGTATGAACTTCACAACGACGCAAACTGTGTTGGAACTTGAACGTTTATTATGCTTGTTTGGCGTCAGTCTTAGAGGTTGCCTGGATGAAAAACTCCACCACCTTTTTCATCCATCTTACCTTGACTTCTTCAACTCTAGCTAACAGCTGGTGAATCTTCTTGGCTCGTGCAGTCTGATACTCTCATTTTTCCTTCGCAGCCTTCGCAATGTATCTTGGAGGCTGCCGCACCCCTTTCTCATGATAAGCGAGTATAGAGTATTATTTTTTTATACACAACGACGAAGCTATTGACCTGCATCTCGCCTGATGGAATGTGATGATCAGGCCGAAGGTGGAAGCGAGCTTCAGCCGAAATTCTCAAACACAGAGGAACTGGTTATCTTACCTCTACCATTATTAGAAATCTACCTCAAACACTCCACCACCTTTTTCATTAACCTTACCTTAACTTCCTCGATTCTAGCAAACAGCTAGTGTATCTCTCTGTCTGATACTTCAACCACTGGCGAAATCAATGCATCTTGGAGACTGCCACATCGCTTTTGTATGATAAGCAAGTCTTTCCTCAATCAGCCACGGACATCACCAGAAATCTAGCTCAAACACTCCACCACCTTTTTCATTAACCTTACCTTGACTTCTTCAACTCTAGCTAACAGCTGGTGAATCTTCTTGGCTCTCTCAGTCTGATATTCCAGTCTTTGACGCTCGGCGCGCGCTTGCTTCGCTTGCAGCCTTAGCAATGCATCTTGGAGACTACTAAGTAGCTTTCTTATGATAAGCGAGTCTTTCCTCAATCAGATACGGACACTATTAAAGACTTAGCTGAAATACTCCACCCCCTTTTTTGACATCTTACCTTTACTTCCTCAACCCTAGCCAACAGCTGGTGAATCTTCTTGGCTCGTGCAGTCTGACCTTCTTTCGCAACCTTCGCAATGTATCTTGGACGCTGCCACATCGCTTTCGTATGATAAGCGAGTCTTTCTTCAATCAGCTACGGTCATTTTTTTATCCACAGCGAGGAAGCTCTCGGCCTGCATCTCACCTGATGGAAAGTGTTAATCCCGCCGAAGGTAGAAGCAAGTTTCACTCAGAATCCCCAACCACAGAGGAACTGGTTATTTTACCTCTAACTGCCTCAACTCTATCTTATTTCTGACATCATCAGAAACCTAGCTGAAATACTCCAACACCTTTTTCATTCATCTTACCTTGACTTCTTCAACTCTAGCCAACAGCTGGTGAATCTTCTTTCCCCTTTCAGCCTGGTACTCTAAACCTTCCTTCGCAGCCTTCGCATTGCATTTTGGGAATCTGCCACATCGCATTACTCTACACAAAATTTCTGTATGAACTTCACAACGACGCAAAATGTGTTGGAACTTGAACGTTTATTATGCTTGTTTGGCGTCAGTCTTAGAGGTTGCCTGGATGAAAAACTCCACCACCTTTTTAATTAACCTTACCTTGACTTCTTCAACTCTTGCCAACAGCTGGTGAATCTTCTTGGCTCGTGCAGTCTGATACTCTAAACCTTCTTTCGCAGCCTTCGCAATGTATCTTGGAGGCTGTCGCACCCCTTTTTCATGATAAGCGAGTCTTTCTTCAATCACCTACGGACATTGTTTTATCCACAACGAGGAATCTCTTGGCCTGCATCTCACCTGATGGAAGTGTTGATCAGGCCGAAGGTGGAAACGAGTTTCACTCGGGATCCCCAACCACAGAAGAAATCTTACCTCTAACTGCCTCAACTCTATCTTATTTCTGACATCATCAGAAACCTAGCTGAAATACTCCACCACCTTTTTCATCCATCTTACCTTGACTTCTTCAACTCTAGCTAACAGCTGGTGAATCTTCTTGGCTCGTGCAGTCTGATACTCTCATTTTTCCTTCGCAGCCTTCGCAATGTATCTTGGAGGCTGCCGCACCCCTTTCTTATAATAAGTGAGTCTTTCTTCAATCAGCTACGGACAATTTTTTATCCACAACTAGGAGGCTCTTAGCCTGTATCTCACCTGATGGAAAGTGATGATCAGGCCCAAGGTGGAAGCGAGCTTCAGCCAGAATCCTCAACCACGGAGGAACTGGTTATTTTACCTCTAACTGCCTTACCTCTATCTTACTAACGTGCTTGCTTCGCTTACAGCCTTCGCAATGTATCTTGGAGGCTGCCACATCACTTTCGTATGTTAAGCGAGTCTTTCTTCAATCAGCTACGGACATTTTTTTATCCACAACGAGGAGGCTCTCGGACTGTATCTCACTTGATGAAAAATGTTGATCCCGCCGAAGGTAGAAGCAAGTTTCACTCGGAATCCCCAACCACAGAGGAACTGGTTATTTTACCTCTAACTGCCTCAACTCTATCTTATTTCTGACATCATCAGAAACCTAGCTGAAATACTCCACCACCTTTTTCATTAACCTTACCTTGACTTCTTCAACTCTAGCTAACAGCTGGTGAATCTTCTTGGCTCTCTCAGTCTGGTATTCCAGTCTTTGACGCTCGGCGCGCGCTTGCTTCGTTTGCGGCCTTCGCAATGCATCTTGGAGTCTACGACATCGCTTTCTTATGATAAGCGAGTCTTTCTTCAATCAGCTACGGAAGCCATTAGAGACTTAGCTGAAATACTCCACCCCCTTTTTTGACATCTTACCTTTACTTCCTCAACTCTAGGTAGCAACTGGTGAATCTTCTTTCCCCTTTCAGTCTGGTACTCTAAACCTTCCTTCGCAGCCTTCACATAGCATTTTGGGAATCTGCCACATCGCATTACTCTACACAAAATTTCTGTATGAACTTCACAACGATGCAAACTGTGTTGGAACTTGAATGTTTATTATGCTTGTTTGGCGTCAGTCTTAGAGGTTGCCTGGATGAAAAACTCCACCACCTTTTTAATTAACCTTACCTTGACTTCTTCAACTCTTGCCAACAGCTGGTGAATCTTCTTGGCTCGTGCAGTCTGATACTCTAAACCTTCTTTCGCAGCCTTCGCAATGTATCTTGGAGGCTGTCGCACCCCTTTTTCATGATAAGCGAGTCTTTCTTCAATCACCTACGGACATTGTTTTATCCACAACGAGGAATCTCTTGGCCTGCATCTCGCCTGATGGAATGTGATGATCAGGCCGAAGGTGGAAACGAGCTTCAGCCGGAATCCTCAACCACAGAGGAACTGGTTATTTTACCTCTAACTGCCTCAACTCTATCTTATTTCTTCAACTCTAGCCAACAGCTGGTGAATCTTCTTGGCTCGTTCAGTCTGGTATTCCAGTCTTTGACGCTCGGCTCGCGCTTGCTTAGCTTGCAGCCTTCGCAATGCATCCTGGAGACTACTAAGTAGCTTTCTTATGATAAGCGAGTCTTTCTTCAATCAGCTACGGACATTTTTTTATCCACAACGAGGAATCTCTTGGTCTGCATCTTACCTGATGGAAAGTGTTAATCCCGCCAAAGGTAGAAGCAAGTTTCACTCGGGATCCTCAACCACAGAGGAACTGGTTATTTTACCTCTAACTGCCCTAACTCTAATTTATTTCTGACTTCTTTAGAAAGCTAGCTGAAAAACTCCACCACCTTTTTCATTCATCTTACCTTAACTTCTTCAACTCTAGCCAACAGCTGGTGAATCTTCTTTCCCCTTTCAGCCTGGTACTCTAAACCTTCCTTCGCAGCCTTCGCATTGCATTTTGGGAATCTGCCACATCGCATTACTCTACACAAAATTTCTGTATGAACTTCACAACGACGCAAAATGTGTTGGAACTTGAATGTTTATTATGCTTGTTTGGCGTCAGTCTTAGAGGTTGCCTGGATGAAAAACTCCACCACCTTTTTAATTAACCTAACCTTGACTTCTTCAACTCTTGCCAACAGCTGGTGAATCTTCTTGGCTCGGCTCGTGCAGTCTGATACTCTAAACCTTCTTTCGCAACCTTCGCAATGTATCTTGAAGGCTGCCGCGCCCCTTTCTTATGATAAGCGAGTCTTTCTTCAATCTGCTACGGTCATTTTTTTATCTACAACGAGGAATCTCTTGGCCTGCATCTCACCTGATGGAAGTGTTGATCAGGCCGAAGGTGGAAACGAGCTTCAGTCGGAATTTTCCACCTCAGAGGAACTGGTTATTTTAGCTCTAACTGCCTCAACTCTATCTTATTTCTGACATCATCACAAACCTAGCTGAAATACTCCAACACCTTTTTCATTCATCTTACCTTAACTTCTTCAACTCTAGCCAACAGTTGGTGAATCTTCTTGGCTCTCTCAGTCTGGTATTCCAGTCTTTGACGCTCGGCTCGCGCTTGCTTCGCTTGCAGCCTTCGCAATGCATCTTGAAGGCTGCCACGCCGCTTGATGCCTTGGGATAGCTTCGCGTGGAGTTGTTGGGCACGACCTGGTTAACATGGTAAGGAGATTTTGAGTAGAGATTCAGAATACTAGCCTACTATACGAGGATTACGATTTATTTTGTAAGATTTTTCTAAGTGTAAAGTGTCTTAGGCCCAGAACACACGGTGAAACGCAATTGCAACGAAACTGCAACTTCTAGTTACTTTTGAGTTGCATCTAAGTTTCTGCCATAGATTCCGTTGAGAGACCACACATGACGCGACCAGTTTGAAACCGGTTTCAGTTTAGTGTCAATTAAAAACATCAAACTTTATCCTTTCAGTAGATAGATGACATGACATCAAAATGCAAGGGAGAGAAAAATTGGAGCGTAGAGTTCTATTAAGAACAGCTTGGTTAGACAGCGTTTAGGAAGTTGCGACATCTTCTCGTCGCCACAGAGTCTGAAGAGCAAGGTATTGCGTATAAAGCCTACCGGCTTAATAGATTGATGTCAATAAGGAAGTAGAAAGGTGCTGGATGCAAACCGAAACCGGTCAATCTGGAAATCATTGGGCTGGAAGACGTAGCGTGGGTAGGCTTCTTACTAGATGGACCGACGATCTAGTAAAGGTAGCGGGAAGAACCTGGATGCGGGCACCGCAGGACCGTTCATTATGGAAAACCTAGGCCTATATTCAGCAGTGGAGGTCCTGTGACTGAAATGATGATGATGATGATCCTCCACGTAGATATTATACCCTTCCTGGATATGTCTTGTCCACTTACCAGGGTCCCTTGCCACAAGCGCTTCCAAAGCGCCCAGCGTATCCACACGCTCAGCCCACGACATTCCGGCTAGGGCAGTCTCATACCGGTCTTCAAGACTTGCCACCAAGCGGCCGGTTACTTCATCAACGTGACAGGTTGTGTCTTCGCACAGGATCTCTGCGTCGGTCTAGATAGGAAAAAAAACAGTGAGCTATAGTCTGGTCTGTGAGCACGTAGAATTTTGTCTAATGAACCCAACCGTGTAATTATGTTGCTGTCGCACTCGCACACTCACTGCGGGCGCCCGTCGCACAGTCGCGACAGCAATATAATTACGCGCGAGCGATAAGGATGGGTAGCTTGGGGTCATTGGACAAAATTCTACGTGCTCACAGACCGAGCTTTAGCAAAGAAACATTTTAAGCAGACTCGCACACTCACTAACAGTTTTCTATAAGACCTGCGAGGTTACTATGAAAAATGTTATCCGAAGTTACGAACATTGCCATCACTCTCTCGCGAGCTAGCATGAGCCATAGTGACAGATAGACTCGAAACTACAACAGCGTTTCAGAGTAGACCTGCTGTTCGAAATACAGACAAGTCTGTCTCCCTATTACAGACTATTTGGTTATGTTGTTAAGAATTTAAATACTGATAGAAAATCAATGTCACACTGCCTCAATTCCTTCAGCTGACTATTTTGGTAAGCCTTCTTAAGACAGGCTTTATGAAATGCATAACTTTAGCTGGTTAAAGGTTTTTAAAAATAAGCTTCTACTTACCTCAGTATCGTCAGTTTCAGTATCCAAATCGATGTCAGAAACTTGCTGCAGCTCCAATATTTGTCTGTTCAACAAATCCTCTTCTTCACACAGCTTCCTTTGGTCGACCTCAGCCTGGAAATCTAAAGCCCAACCGAGTTTCTTCTCATTTTCCTCTATCTGTGACGTCATTTCAGCAATTTCGGACCTTTCCGAAGGGTCTGCCGATTCCAAAATGTCAGTGTGATTCAAGATCTGATCGTCGTCGTCGAAGTATTTAAACGTAGATCTGAACTCAGACCTCCACTTGTCAAAATCAAACGCCTCTTCGGTACTCTCCTGAGACCTAGAGAGACCTGTAGTAAGGCTTTCTAGGGAAGAGTGCAGCCTGTTTTTAGTCAAGTCTGAAGTCTCGTCATCATGGGTCTTTTCATCTTTGGATTTCTCGACTTTCTTAGTCAAAGCCTTGCTTCGAGAAGACTTAGATTTTAATCCAGTCACATCAGATTTCTGTCTGATCATAGCCGGGTCTTTAATTTTCGCCTCTGGAGTGACGCTCACGGCTACTTTCACAACTTTTTCCGGTTTAATTACAACCTGAGGTTGTTCGGATTTGGCGCGGTCTAGTTTGGCATTTTTAGGAGAATCTACAATTGGCTTCGTTTCCTGCTTAGGGGATTCTATCATGTTCAGTGTGGGGAGACTTGTGGTAGCTGAAGGCTGGTGGAACCTTTGAGCCCAGTGCGATTTCGATTGCTTCTTCGATTCGCGACTGAGACGCCTCGATTTGACCGTCAGCCAGCCTTCGTTATCGCTCTTATTGTTATCTACGTTAAGAACTTCAATCGAGTTCCCAACGTCATCAATCATCAGCATTTCATCTGGCACTAAAGTTTTGAGACTTTCACTAGATTCAATTCTAGTCATGTCGATTTGTGTGACGATTGTGTCGGAACTGCCGTATTCGTCGCAATCTTTGATTTTCTCCAAAGTAGGGTTGTTCTTATCTTTTTTAGTGTCACGGTCATCGACTTTTAGAGATATCGGCCTTGGAGGTCGCTTCTTTGTATCGATTTTGTTTTGACTAGATTTGTTATCACCTGACGCGAGTTGAACATTTTTGTTCAGGGGTTTTTTCGGCAAAGCATTTTTGTTTGTCGCAGTGGGCGAATCGAAAAGACTTTTTCGACCTGTCGTGAGGTTAAAGGGGTAACTGCATTTGTTGACTTGGTTCTTTTTTGGAAACTGTGCCCTTTGGGGTTTCGGGGCAACAGGCCGAATTTCGACAACAGTTTTGCTTCTGACCAATGTGGTTGTTTTAGTTGGTGTTTTCACTTCGGTTTTGGGGACAGTTACCGGCTTAGGTTTCGCAGCGGCTTGGGAGTAAGCTGGCCGCGTATTCATTTTAGTTTCACTTGATTTATCAGCTTCTTTTTTGGGCTCTTCTTTGCCATCTAAAGCACCGTTCTGCTCAGGAGTTTTCGATAATTTATCGGTTTCATTTGGCTCCAATTTGTTTATAGTAGAATCTTTTGGTGCTTTATCGTTATCAGCGACATGAGGCAGATCTTTTGACACATCACCGTTAGTGTTTTCGATTTTATTTTCTGTAATGAGGTTGGATTTTTCTGGTATTGCGTTTGTTAAATCAGATTTTTTTTCAGAATTACCTTCTTTAACTTTGAAATTTGCTTCTGCGTTGTTTACTTTAGCTATCTCTTCAATTTTGACTGTAACTTTTGAATTCTTTGCTTCAACCGTCTTTTCAGTTTTGACCGTCACTTCAGTATCATTTACTGTATTAGCTTTTCCTTTCACAACCACCTCAGCATCATTTGACTTCGCTGATTTTTCAACACTGACATTCACTCCAGCTTCACTTACTTCATCTGTTTCTAAAACTTTTTTAAGTTTTTTTTCAGCGTCATTGGTTTTAGTTGCTTTTTCAACTTTAGGAGTAATTTCAGCGTTTTTTTCAACTTTATTAGGCATTTTAACGCCATTCTCGTCAGCTGTTTCTTGAACTTCAACAATCATTTTAGCATCACTTGCTTCATCTGTATTACTCACTTTGGCAACTGACTCTGATGTGTCAGTGTCATTTGATTCAGTAGTTTCTTCAACATTGTCACTTTCGAGTATTTGTGACAACTTTTCGATATTTTCCGGTATATCTGGAGTCTTTGCGTCAAGAGATTTTGTCGAACTTTCGTTAGAGATATCACCAAAGTTATCTTCTGACTTTGTCGGAGATTCTGAAGAACTTACAGATTTATCATCTACCATCATTAATTTTTCTTCTGCATCTATTGTAAGATTGCTATCCAGCTTAATTGTTTCAATATTATTTGAAATTACATCTTCGTTTGGTTTTTCAGTTTCTTTGTCATGGTTAAGCATGTTATCGTTTTTAATTTTATTCTCGATGAGCTGCTTCGCCAAGAATTCATTCTCCATTGCCTCCAATTTGGCAGTTATCTCTCTCGCTTGGTTGATCTGAGAAGATGACTCGACAGATGATTTACGTGAGCCTTTAGCCGAATTCACTGGACTTTCTTGATTTGTCAAAGCCCGCTTCGGCGATTTGATAACCACTTGTTTGGGGCTAGCGTTCGGGCATTCTTTGGCTTTGCCTATTTCAACAACAGGTGTTACATTTGTCGCTTGTTTTGCTTCATCCTTCTCAGCTTTTTTAGAGTCATGGTTTTCTTTTATTTCTTTCTCAGTAATATCAGACAACCTAGACGATTCCTTAGTCAAATTTGGCTCCGGCTTGGCCGTGACTTTGGAAGCTGCTATTTTGCTGCTGAAAAATTCAATATTCGCTTTCGGACTAGTACTGGAATGCCCTGAAGATATCCTGGGACTGATCTTCCCGCTGCCTGGACTGGCTTTGCCTGTTAGGTTGGGGCTGTTCTTGCCACTGGGTGTGTTATGTCCAGAGAGGCAAGGGCTATTTTTGCCTGACACTGAGGGTGAGCTCTTGACGGAATGGGTCCGCCTGGACTCGGGTCGTACAAAATCAGTCTTTCTAATCTCCCATGCTAAGCTCTGCGGCCGTTGCGGCGGCGGCGTATTGTCGTACTCCCACTTCAGCCTGAACCATTCACCTAATGCTTTAAAGTCGCGGGTGTAGTTCTCTAGTACTAGTATAACTTCTTGGCACTCGTTCAAATTCTCGTGGGCTTCAACTGTGTTGTAGATTTCGCCGATCTGGAATTGAATAAATTGTTTTACGAGTTAAGCACATAATGATATTATGATAAGGTTGTGACTTGTGTTGTGAGTCTTGTGACTATGGTTTACGGTTTACCAATACAAACTTCTTTGTTTTTTCTTTAAAGTTACAAGAAACACCTGAATGCGAGCAGCGCAGTGTGGAAATCATTGGGCCTTTGTAAAGCATTGAACATCTTTTGGTTGGACCATCCTTGGACCATGCTTTGTCAAGAAAGATAGATAAAGCTGCTTATGGAAAATATACTATAGCAGCGGTTGGGAACAACGGCCCACGGGCAGCGTTCGTCTTACTTGCGGCCCGTGAATGTTTTGTTTATAATGTACCTAAATAAATTATGAATATCAAAATACCTGTGGGGTCTAGACAAAGTGCACATAATAATCGCAAACCACTCGAAAAATCGTCGAAAGGCCTTCTTTGCATGGAATTTTGACGGATTCGATTTTCGATTCGATCAAAAAGTGCAACTTGTCTAGGGGGGGCTGGATTGATTAATAAGAAGCTTGCCTCGTAAGAACGCAACGCAAGTGCGGTAACTTGTGCCCGCCTGCCTAAAGGTTGCCGACCGCTGGATTATAGCAAAATAACTTACAGCTCTCTGCAGGTCTCCAAACAGCAGCGCCCAGTACCGGGCCCGTAACTCGGACCGCTTGTCCCGGCCTGCCGAGGCGGAGCGGCGGGCCGGTCGCGGGGCCACGCGCCGCACCGCCGGCCCGCCGAGGCAGCGCGGCGGCTTGCGCGATAACCGCGCTGTGGGTAGATGAAAAATTATATTTACAAATAACTTTTTAAAAAAATAAAACCGACTTCAAATGCGTGAACACAAAAAAAAAACTAAAAATTAAAAATATTGCGTATAAAAAAGTTCATCCCCAATTTTCCACACTTGGGGGTGAAATATTTTCTTCAAATTCGCATGAAACCACCCTTTTGATAATACCTATTCAACAAAAAAATAATCGTTCAAATTGATTAATAATCGGCGGAGATATTGCGTATAAAAAAGTTCATCCCCAATTTTCCACCATTGGGGGTTGTTTTTTCTATTATTAAATTTAAATGGGACCACCCTTGAAGTATTACCTATACGCCGAAAAAAGATTTGTTCAAATCGGTTCATAATTGGCGGAGTTATCGCGTAACAAACATAGAAAAAAAAAAACATACGGGTCGAATTGAGAACCTCCTCCTTTTTTGAAGTCGGTTGAAAAAAAGTATTTAAGTATGTTTATATCCGTTGTCTAATCTAATGCCTGGTCCGTGAGCACGTAGAATCCCGTCCAATGACCCCAAGCTGCCCAGTGCCCATCCTTGTCGCTCGCACGTAATTATGTTGCTGTCGCGCTCGCACACTCACTGCGGGCGCGCGTCGCACAGTCGCGACAGCAATATAATTACGCGCGAGCGATAAGGATGGGTAGCTTGGGGTCATTGGACGGGATTCTACGTGCTCACGGACCAGGCTTTAGTACCCATAGTACAAGCTTTGCTTAGTTTGGGACTAGAAGCGCAGTGTAAAATGTCCAAAGATATTTTATTTAAAAATGGATGGTGAGGGTACATTTACATTAGTAGACAGCAGCAGATAGCACATCCAATTTATCAGACCATACATAATTTTCTATTTATTTACCTATATCATCTGGACTCAAGACATTACTCATGAACATGTAGGTAAATGCATTTCCATTTTCATGAATATTATCCAATAAATATAGAGAAACGTGAATTCCAGGCGTTGCACAGACAGTTTTCTAGGACTACATTATTATCAGATCTGCCTACGTACTGTGTGTAACTTTTGACTCAAACGACAAAGAGAACTCTGAATAAAATATTAAAAGTATTTTAGTGACTACACACAACTAAATAATGCATTCTCTTTTCGATCTCCCCATTGAAATCGACACCCTAATATCATAGCAATAAGACTGCAAAATATTAGCAACTAAAATGATCAACAGTCACACAAAATTTCGATAACGCGACCCACCGAAAGGTTGAGACAGTAAAACTACAAGTACTTTTCAAGAACTTACGCTCAAATCGTCGCATGATGATCTACAATTCACATAAATCTTTTCTACATCATGTACGTTCAATTCAAGGATCATTAAACCCGGTCTGTACTGTGACCAGCAAAAGTGGAACTGAAAAAATATTCCAAGACAAATGCAACATGTTTCATGAAAGAATATCGGTAAACAGTTATATTTACGCTCCGCCAGGTCGCCGGTATCGATTCTGATGTCTAAAATCAATCAGACCAGACCTAGATATCACTTAGTGACTATTACAGAATCGTTCAGTAGACTCGTAACGTTACATACTTATGCAAATATTAGCTAGTAAGTAATTTGAGTGTAGGATATTTATAAAGACGCTCTGCAAATTTAATCTTCGTAGTTCTGACATGAGGGTGGCACTATATGTAGAGTAATTATTTATTAATTTATTATACTTAGATTTTATTAACTTCCTGTGCTATCATGAGTATTTTGGGTTGGGTTGAAATCTGTGTGATCAGTGTCCCAAAAATTTCAAGCAAACTGAGAGCTACATAATCTTATTAAGTTCAAGAGTTATTCGAATCCTAAATATACAAGACCTCGTATGAAACAATTTTCTCAGAATCAGTATCAGTAATCCAGTTAACCACAAGCTAAATCAACATTGCATTCTCTGGAAGCAACGCCACGTAAGAATAGCGAGTCACTGACTAAAGACATTCTGAATGCTCAAATCGTAAGAATCACTTTAAAATTTCGAGAGACCTATCTTTCTGGTCAATAGTTCAGTGATAAGTGCAATCGCCCAAAAAAAAAGTTGCGAATTCAGGTTCGAATCCCAACAAATTCAGAGGCGGTTGTTTTCCATACATGAGCTTTTCCCGCAATAGTTTTTAGTTCTATGGGCAACGTAGATACATAAATAATAAAAAAAAGGTATACAATAGGTAGTAAATAAATCCGATTTACATATTGCTATCGTGTATCGTATCGTGGCGAAGATCTTCAAAGCCCGTACATTAAAGCTTCTCGAGCAATCGATTCGATTACGAATCACTCGAGTTACTCTGTCTGCGACCTGGCCAGGTCATCTGGGCTAGAGGGCATTAATCGATTGCAATCGTACCCTTCAGTACCTCTAGCATAACTTTAAGCTGCATGAACAACTTTCGTCTTCGAATCGTTTGCGTACTCGATAAAATTCGATACTCAACCTTCGAAGTAAACGATAACGTGACAATTTTGATTCTCAAAATAAGTTTCGTGCAATTATTACTCATACTAAGTTCACTTTACGACACGTTCACAAGGGCGCTGTTGTAGTTTTCGTACTAAATCTTTTGATGGCGATTCGAGTACGCAAACGATTTGAACTCGAAAGTTTTTCGTGCTAGCCGTACTGAACACTGTTACAACTTCTATTGTACTAATAATAACAGCTTAGACGGATCGATAGGCCTTCCAGACAATCCCACTTAATAATTTACAAACTACGGCAGTGCACTTAGTACGTAAACCTTCAGCTAAATGCAGACCTTACGCTCTCCACAGTAAACGCTAGAATCCAAAGACAATCAAGGTTGATGTGCCCTTGACCGCTTGTAATTTGCCTTTTTAGATAAGAAATTATGGTTCGGAATCCTTGAGACAGTGACGTCATTATTGGAAAACATTTCCATGGCGCCGATTCAAATCTTCTTATTAAGTAACGAAAATAACATATTTCATCAGACTCGACTCAAGGGCGTCAAAAAGGTTGAATGGAAATATTTCGTTATAAATAGAGACGTCCACCCACACACGACCAGATCACGCCTTTTGTCTGAAAAGCTTTTTCTTAGGACAAAGTGGGAAAACTTTTAGAATAATGCTATGGAAATATAATATTTTCCACTTTCAACCCTTGGGAAGCACTACAAAGTAATACAATAGAAGAAACTTAGCCACGAAAACGTATAAAATTCAAAAAAGGCTTTGTCATACCATTTGTCTACACTAATATTATAAAGAGGAAAACTTTGTTTGTTTGTTTGTTTGGTTGTAATGAATAGGCTCAAAAACTACTGGACCGTTTTTAAAAATTCTTTCACCATTCGAAAGCTACATTATCCACGAGTAACATAGGTTAAATTTTATTTTGGAAAAAAATAGGGTTCCGTAAAATATGTAGATGATGTAGTCCACGCGCGCGAAGCCGCGGGCGGAAAGCTAGTCTACTATATAAAAATAAGTCGGGTTTTCCTCCCTGACCCTATAACTCCAGAACGCACGAACCGATTTCCCACGGTTTTGCATTCGTTGGAAAGGTCTCGGGCTCCGTGAGGTTTATAGCAAAGAAAATTCGGGAAAAGGGGGTAAAACGGGATCCACGCGTACGAAGTCGCGGGCGGCCGCTAGTTTCTTCTAAAATATTTTGATGTGTGTAAGGTAAACGTAAGTTGTGTATCTACTATTTATAGTACGGCGGGCGCTAATGGGATAAACCAGCTCATTATCAGGGTTCGAAAATATCCGATATTTATTATAAATATCAAAATATCGGATATTTATGATATATATCCGATATATATCAACTTTGATATACAACGTGTCCCAAAATTCAAGGATAAGCCGGCGCCGCAGTGGGGACATAGTCATGACTACATTAGGAAAAATAAGAAAAAAAATCCATCTCAATTATTTTTTAAGTTACACAATAAATTATGAAATTCGTTGAAAATTGACACCCCTTATGATATTTTACATTACCACGACTACAATTTTTCAAATACTTCAGTTTTTTTATTTGTATCGGCAACTTAANGGTGAAATTCCTAAAAAAGTTAATTTAAAAGTAGCCGCCTGGCATTGAACGTGTTATGGGGGCTGAAAATATAGGAAATGACCCATTCTATCCGCCAAATCATTTTGGCACACGATGCGCCAAACACCCTGTATATCATCAAAACCGGCTTGATATATATCGGATATATATCCGATATATATCTTGATATATATCCCTTGATATATATCCTCGAACCCTGCTCATTATAACTTGAAACTTAAGTTCTTATGAAAAATCGGCGCAGCACAGTTTATGAATTATATGAGCACTGTCAAATATTGTCAATAGACAATGTTCAGTTTAATCTAGACAATGCACAATGTAACATTCGATCCTCATCCCAGATTATTATTGCTTTGCTACATCCCAAAATTACGTCGTAGCTACCTAAGAAATAAGATCCCAATTTTGAATGGTAGACCTTATTCGCCACCGTTATATGACGACCACATAGCCTGGTGGTTGGGACCAGGGATGTTATGGATATCCGTAACCGTAACCGAAACTTTCGGATATCCGAAATAAAAAAATATCCAAAACCGTAACCGAATCAAAAGTTTCGGATAGTTTCGAATGTAGGCAGTTTAAATTGTTTTTTGTATAGCATTATATGTAAAGGCATAACAGCCTGATTTACCTTTATAATGCCATCTAGCATAAATTTTTATTTTTTTATTACTTTTTATTCGATGTAAAATGTGCAGCCATGAATTAACTCTGTGTTGGACAACTATTGCAAATTGAATTCTAAAGCACAGATATCCGTAACCGTAACCGAAACTTTCGAATATCCGAAATAAAAAAATATCCGTAACCGAAACAGGTATAATATTATTCCTGTAACCGTATCCATAACCGAAACTACATATATCCATTACATCCCTAGTTGGGACTACTAAGAGCGCTTTCACATTAGGGCGTTAGTAGCGCGGCAGCAGCGCGGCAGCGGCGTTTTTATAGTGTGAAGGCATGCATCCGCTGTCGCCTGTCACATAGTATGAAATATTCGGAAGCGCGTCTATCGCGCGTTTGTCGCGCTGGTTAATCGCCTAAATGTGAAAGCGCTCTAATACGCCAGAGATTCGATGCCCGCGCAATCCAAAAGTATTTTATGTATTAATTTACGAATTTATCTACTTCCCTCTACACTAAACCACTTGCAAGTCAGCATACACGCACAATTGTATGCATCAGCGCATACGCACTTGACGGCTCATCAAACGGAATTTAGAATTCTTTGCAATGACAGTATGTCTGATCTAAAGACCAAGCGAGAGCGCGCCCGACTCGATAATCAAGGCGACGCTATTTTGGATCGACAAATTATAATTTTGCTGTTAACACCCTTAGGTTAAATTATTACAAAGAAATTGAATATATTCAAAAAGGCAATTACATACACAGAAGGCAAACTGTCACCCTTAAATTATTCCTGAGGAATATAGGTACTTGAGACTCTTCCCAAAGTCTAAATGGAACAAAAACAGAGGGTAGAAAAAAGTATTTATTTTTTAACACCTATCACCAAAATGTAAACTTTTCTCTATTAAAATAAGTTGGAACTGTCACCAGAATTGACACATTGAATAATTTTGCACACATTTAAATTGATGTATGAAATCTTAAGAAAATCTAACTCTAAGGTCATATTTTTATCGATCAGGTTATCTACCTTCATTAATGTTTAAAAAAGCATTATATTTCATACCCACTGGTTTCTTAAATAAGAATTATCTTGAAACACATAAATACATTCATTTATTCTCAATTAAATAGCTCTTTTTAGTTTTTATACATCCCAACATAACCATTCTTCGGGAAAATAAAATAGGCAAGGCAAGTGCTGGGAAGAGGCAGCTCAAGAGAATTACCACATAAAAGCAACACTTGCATTACATTTATAAGAAGAGAGGATTATTTTTGATAAGACTAGTTTTATAAGATGGTTGCTATGCCATCTCAGCATAGATAAATCAGCATCATAAATCTAACCCAGCCTAGCGTGAAATGGTGCAAATTTTCACTTTCAAAAGCGGAATTTCAATTACTACTAGAGCAGATTTATCACATGATCTTTTTCATAAATTAAAATTACAGTACAGTATTTCTGCATGGTTCAGTACTCAAGCAATTATCAAAATTAAATAGCAAGGAAGATCAAAAATATATTTCAAGTTGACAATGTTGTTTAATAGAAGTTTATTCAATGTAAATTTGAATAGGGCCACATGATGATATTTGAAATGTAAATACAAGCAAGTGTAACACACACAAACTTACTACTGCGTACTAATAAGAATTCAAAAGGGACAACTTTTACCTAAATTGTGTGAAACCACCCACATGGATGGCAATATTATTTGAAGTATTTGAAGGTCACTGGGATGAATAACCAAGTAAATAAAAAAATGATTATAATTACTTCGCCTTATAGCAAGCGCAGGCTGTCTTTACTGATCAACAAACATTCACCGCCCACGATGTTGGGCAAAAGATCGTCGCTTCGCTCGAGATAAAAACTAGTTACCTGGTGTATCAACGGCCACGTGGAAAGCTACCAGGTTCCTGGCTTCCCGGCCTTCCTCCTGCACAAGTTGTCTCACTTCTTCCATTTCGAATCAACGAAAAACACGGGGTTTTTGAACAAAACAAAAGACAAGAAATGAACTCATCACTCCGGTATTTAATAGAGTTTCAGCCGCCCGAAACATTCATAATATGGCGCAAATTAATCAACGATACTAAAATAGAACTTAAAAAGCAAAATTGGTACGGTAAAAGCAATTTATTGCGAAAAATAAATTGATGGATATTTTCATAACAATCCGCTTTTGACAGATCCGTTTACTTTTGTTGCAATGGTTAAAAATTCTACAATTAGTAGTTTTTTCCTATACAAAGTTCAAAAAAATTTATTTGACTATTATAATAATGAAATCAACGTTGTCTTGTTTAGTGATAAACAGGAGGAATAGTTCTAAAAAGAAATTTCTTTCCTAATTCCTTGATGGCACAAATGCTTAAAATTCCTGCTTTATTTTAGACCAAGAAAGAAGATTAGTAGAAATACAATTTAATTGTACTTATCCTTCAAATAAAAATGTTTTCTTTTATAGGTGAATGAATTCTAAATTCTAATATGAATTAAAGCCCGGAGCCCTCAGCATCTCTTTAGTCTTCAGCCCAAACTAATAATAAATAAAATAATATCCTTGGACATTTTACACTGCGCCGCGCCGCTAGTCCCAAACTAAGCAAATTAACTTGTATGTACTATGGAATGGTGCTAGACAACGGATAAAAATACTTAATTTTTTTTCAACCGACTTCAAAAAAAGGAGGAGGTTCTCAATTCGACCCGTATGTTTTTTTTTTTTTTTTTTTTTTTTTTTTTCCTTTGTTTGTTACGCGATAGCTCCGCCAATTATGAACCGATTTTCAAAATTCTTTTTTTGTTCGATAGGGTACACTTCTGAGGTGGTCCCATTGTCACNGTATTATCTATAACGTGATTTGTGATTGATGGCTTTCTCAGTTTTTTACAAAAGTGTCAAAAATACATTTTAAAGACAATAGAGTGCAATAGATATTTAAAAATACAATAAAAAGTAAAAAAGTCTCCATCGCCATCGCTAACATAAGTGATGTGCATGCGTTACGATAGTTAGTGATGTGTTTAACAGATTGTCGATAAATAAAATATTCAAAATTAACTATCAAAATTTTCGGGCATTATTTTTTAACGGATTTGTGTTCAGTATCAGTAATATAGTTACCTCTGTAAATATGGCAAGAATGCAAAGTAACACCCTGTATTATTATAATACATAGAAAACACCCACATCCGTCACACAAATCAAAATTCAGCATTTCAATTTCTGCCCGACCGGGTATCGAACCCAGGCCAGGACCTCTCGGCATAGTATAGGTGTACCAGAATCTCATGGCAAATAGGGAAAATTAACTTTGTTGAGAGCAATACTTGGGAAATTGGAATAAACGATCTTGATACTGTTTAATTTTTTACTTTTATGACTTTAAAATTAATGAACATGAAGTACGAATACATTTTAGGTAGGTATGTGTATGAAGAATGTTGTTATACATCAGGTTTTTAACATAGGAAAATGTCTTGGAATTTAAATAAATCGTATATTACTTTAAGTAACTAATTTTATTATGCATCATACTTGTAACTTATCACTTCATTCAGAACTAGAAAACGATTCTAAGAACTCCACTTGCATTTCTTGTTCTTCAATAGACAGATCAAGATAAAGAGGTATTGTAAATAAATTGCTCTTCCAGCATTTCAATGGAGAAGTCCTTGATGTTAAAAACACTATATTTCTCTGAATGGGATTAAAATATATACCAAAACTAAAGAGACGGTGAAGTTTTTTTTTTAAATCGATCAAGAAATGTCTGAGAAATAAATTATTTATATTACCTACATATTTTCGCGTGGAACTGAAACATAGGCGGTGCCGTTCTTTTTGTATATGGCCAGGTCTGGGATATTTTAAAAAAAGGTTTCAAAATTTTACTACGAATGAATCTTGAGTGACCCTAGCTGAAAAATTAAAAACTGCTAGATTTAAAAAAAATAAACCTGTCAACAGATCAGGGGTGATTTACTGTTTGTACTCCGAATGACTGTCGTGAATACACCGATCAAAATGGCGTGAATAGTTATGCGCAACTTTAGGGCCCTGCAACTTATTTATTTGTAGAGATATTTTCATGATTATTTCACAATTATTATTAGTTTTACTTATATTTATTTCAGGTTTATTTAAAAGAAAAAAAATTGAAAACTTTTCCATTATTCAATCTTGCTTGATGAAATCTTTTTCAATTTTCTTTACATGGTCATAATAACATCTGCACCAATTTGTGAGATATACCTGAAAACCCCGATAAAGCAGCTATTAAGTAAGAATAAATATAAAAAACACAACCCTCCTTCTGACGCAGTTGGGTAATAAACTAAATGTATCAAAACATTTCAGTCCAACTTACTGTCAACTCGACGACGCGCTTTAGAATCAAAGATTGACTTTGAATAAAATGCCTTATTTTACAATTTACATTGAAAACAGTATGCGTTGCTTGAACTTTATGACTTTTTCAGAAAAATAACAAATAGTCAAGAAGAGATTACAAAAATTTTGCAGCGGCTGACAGATTTCATAATTTTCTTTGACAGGTGACAATTAAATATTTTTGTTTGCCATGAGATTCTGGTACACCTATAGTCCGTTCTGAATCACTACACCAAACGGCCGACATATAAAAATTTGCAAGTTTTGTATGGCTGAACGTAATTTAGAAGATTTTGAAAATTAACGTAGTTAACACCGAGTACCATAGACATTATCCAACAGCCAATCGATTTTTGTCTTTCTTTCTAGCGCCTGCGTTGTGATTGGTTGTTAGAGACGTCAAATTTTTGACATTTCTTTAGGCTCTGTCAGGCCATAGACACAAGGTTTCTTTTCGTTGTCAAGCAATGGCGGATCAGGTACGTGCGGGATTTTTTGGCAAAATTATTTAATTTTCGGTATTTTCCACCAAAAATGTGCGTTTAAAATGTTGAAGTGCAGTGTTAAATTAATATCCTACAGTTGTTTCATGTTTATTTAGTGATTTTGCCCGAAAAATGTTCACACTTCAATCTCACACGTGGGGTTTAGTTTCATTGATTGTTCTAAAAAAATCGAAGTTCAAGTGTATTTATATCAAAAAGTATTTATCTTCTGCTTAAATTTTACTATCAGAACTAATTATTTAGTGTAATTTGAATTGCCATCAGAATTTCTAGCCGATTTGTGCAAGTTGATAGGTTACCTTTCTACGTGATGTTTTTTACGAAAATACCACTTACTTCTGGATCTTCACTACATCCTCAGACTTTCTAATTAATTATTTCATAAATAACATTTTACCTGTGTAACTTAATGTCCAAAATACCCATATTATTAAAATTTCTAGGTTATGTTTACATGTCCCCAACTTTGAAAATTCTTCACTCAACTTGTTACTAATGCCTTGAAACATTGCAGACGGAACGTTCATTCCAAAAGCAACCGACGGTGTTCTTGAACCGTAAAAAGGGGATCGGTTTGAAGCGCAGCCGTAAGCCTTTGAGGTATCACAAAGATGTGGGCCTCGGTTTTAAGACACCTCGCGAGGTAAATGGCATGGTGTGAATTAACGTTTGTATTTTTTCTGTAGACAGAGAAAGCGTTTCAGAAACAAGCGACGGTGTTCCTTAACCGCAAGGGCGGTCTCAAGAAGAAGGACCAGAGGCACCATAAAAATGTCGGTCTAGGCTTCAAGACGCCGCGTGAGGTCTGTTTGTTCACAGTCTATTCGGTGGCGGACGCTGGGACGATGGTGGCTGGCGATGTTAACTGGAAGGCTTGGGGGACCAACTTCTGTTTTGTTATCTAACAACTTGTACACACACTTATCACTTATTTTAGAAATTCATTACTAGCTTGGTAAAGAGAAATAATTTGAAGATTGTTGGACAACTTAAAAAATCTATTTGATCCAAATTATTCCAAAGCAGAAGTTGGTCTATGCTCTCATCCGCTCATTTCGTCAGTGCTGCAGCAATTTCATCCATATCATTATGATAGGGTTCTCAAATGAAGGAATAGTTATAATGGTTGCATGCTATTTTAATCTATTTCCAGTAAGGTGTGGTTTTGAAAATTTTTCACATTAATAGTTAATTTTTAAGTTTGTTTTTTACCCTTAAACACTAATCAAGATCAAGTTTTAATCTTATTTATTTGTTTATTTTATTATTTTTAATTAATCACTCATCAAGCTAAACAAGTGTGCTTAAAGGGACGAATGATTGTTGCATGTCTTTGTTTGCATGATAAAAAAAAACAATAACCTGATAACTGCTTTTTCTCAACCTATAATATTTTGTTTGCCATAGATTCTAAGTTCAGAAACCTATGCTGAAAACTGTATAGGATTTGAACACTAAAAATCTGGAAGCATACTTGTTGTAGCCACTGTTAATAATTTTATGTTCATTGCTAGGATCATCATATTAGCAATTAACATGAGATTATTAATTGGAGGTTTCGTTCTATTAATATCAATCAATGTTCAGATGCAAAAGTTTACAAATATGTATAATGCCTGCTTGCATGCCTGTGTGAAAAACTTATAAAAATGGTGAAGGAAAAATGAATGTAACACATTACGTTTTTATAAAACTTTTGACTGTAAAATGATGAAATCCACACGACGGTCTTCTGATTTACCATCTGATGAAGATCGTGTTCTAACCCAAACTCTGATTACAGTCAAACTTGAAGATATTTGATTGGCTAAGGTTCTAGGAATTATTAAATTCCCGAAAAGTAGACTTCACAAAATCTTCTGATTCTGATAAGCACTGTCTCTTCAGTTTTTATCATATAATTCATTGCAAGATTAATTTATTGAGTTGTAAAAATCAAGAAGACGTAGCAAGCAACATTATTTTCCCACTCGCTACCTACCTAAGTAGAGAGTGGGTATTCACAGCAAATCTTTACCAAAATTTTAAATCTTAAAGTATTAAAAACCAAAGCCAATCGTATCTCCAAACAAAACCCAAACCGTCATTCCACCAACTAACCCTTCCCACCCCGCAGGCGATCGAAGGCACCTACATCGACAAGAAGTGCCCGTTCACTGGCAATGTGTCGATCAGAGGCCGGATCCTCACCGGAGTGGTGCAGAAGATGAAGATGCAGCGCACCATCGTAATCCGCCGCGATTACCTGCACTACCTGCCCAAATACAACCGTTTTGAGAAGCGTCACAGGAACATGTCTGTGCATTTGTCACCCTGCTTCAGGTACGTCACACTTATTTATTTTATTCTAATTATTTATTAGTATGTAGGCCCTTTTCAGTACCTACATGTCCCAAATATAGCTTGCCCTATCACCACTTTGGGACAGTAATAATGTGTGTGAACTGTCTTCAGAAAAGGCATATTGTTTCTAAGATCCTAGAAACAGATTCCCAGGAAAAATTTTTAGTAGTTCCTTAGAACTTCAGACAGTTTTCGAACTCAAACTGACTGCACGGTTACCGCCTCAATGCCTCTGCAATGAACCAAACACCTTATTCTTAAAAATTACAACAGCTAAATAGATGGTGGTATATTTAAATTTGCATTGTTTTGTCTATTTATCTTGGTGCATAGCATTTTTTTTTTAAATGATGATACCCACACGACGGTCTTCCGACAACCAAGTGACGAAAGACGTGTTCTAACCCAAACACTGATCATTCCTCCCACATTTCATGACCATCATCATCACCGAACCATTCTAATGAACTCCTCAATATTCCAGGGATGTGGAGCTGGGAGACATCGTGACCATCGGCGAGTGCAGGCCGCTCTCCAAGACAGTGCGATTCAACGTGCTAAAGGTGTCGAAGGGCAAAGGATCCAAAAAATCCTTCAAAAAGTTCTAAATAAAATTATTTTATAAGTATTGAGTCGTTTTATTTCTGAGAATATTCTGTTTTACTTTTACCAGACTTCAGTATTCAGAGCCATTGAGATAAATAAATGCAAGAGTAAAAAATATTGTTCTCGTTTTATGGTAAATATTTAAACAACAGGTGCGATTACGATTCAAGTTTTTCGTGCTCAGGGTACTGACTGATAACAGTAATTTTATCCTTACTCTAGTTACAAAAGGCGAGCTTATCCTATAATTAGGCATTCTCTCCCACTCGCCTTTAGGACCAACAAAGTAATTTGAGAGAGAGTAGGCCTGTGCAACCTGACTTGAACAAATACCTATACGCAATGCATTTTTAAGTAAACTAGCAGCTAGTAACATACGAGAAAAAGAGTCCTAAAATATTTTCTTTCGTTCTTTTCTATGGCTTTTGTTTCCATCACGTTTGCCATAATCGGAGGTGGTAGGTATGAGGCTTCTTTCAAACGGGTTTGCTAGGCTCTCCTGCAGCACCTTCCTCTATGGGGAACACGGACTGTTTAAGAACTTCTTCTGTATTGATAGGTATTTTAGAAGTATCATTGAATTGCAAAGCTACTTTAGCTTTGGCCTCTGTGAAATAAATTAATATGCTAGGCATGGGTTCATTTCATCTCATCAACAGGCAGCAGAGAGCAGAAATAATAAATATTTCTGCTCTCTGACAGGCAGAGGAAAATAATTTTAACGTTAAATAACGATTAACGTTAGCGCATAACCAACCATACGTATCGTTATTCGTTCATGTGACAGATTGAAGGTGACATGACAAGAGAGAAAAACAACAAACATGGCCGCCAATTAATTGGTTCTGGAATCCGCTATTTTTGTGGTCAAAGTTTAATCAGAACGCTATGATATCTTTTTTCTCTAAACTCTCGTTAAATAATACTTCTGCGCCTCCGGTGGAACTTGCTAAACCTGCTTATATGGACAAAAGTGCGACCTTACAAGAGCTGGGCTACAGAGATGAGAACGACTTGAGAGAGACGATCTACGGTTTGTTTTGACTGGATTTTGTGTTGTTTTGGACGCTTTGGACTATTTTTCTGTGATTGTAACCGGTGTTGTGGTGTTTTAGACTTTTTGCGGACCATTCGGGACCCGGAAAAGCCGAGTACTCTCGAGGATCTAAAGGTCGTTTACGACGACGGGATTTTTGTGAAAGAGCCGACGGCGGACAAAGTTCCCGTGGTGAGAGTGGAATATAATCCCACAGTACCCCATTGTTCGCTGGCGACGCTTATCGGGTTGTGCATAAGGATAAAAATACAACGTTCGCTGCACCATCCTGTCAAACTGGATATTTATATCAAGAAAGGAGCCCACACTACTGAGGATGAAAGTGAGTAATAGTAGCATAATATTCGCGATATCAGATGCGGGCGATTTGATTAGCTCGCTTGTTGTGAAGTTATACACTGCATTCCATTGAATTGAATGTAATTGGTATTCATAATAAGTGCTTGTTTGGCACAGTTTAATAACACATGACAACAAAGAAGGTTTTTGTGGCTCATTGTTTTTGTATAACTTCTGGTTGTATAATAAGTTGGCTGCAGGCAGAATGCCTTTTATTGAATGTTGTGAGTGCTTGTGTTGTTATGTGGTGTTTTATGAAGATGCAACAGTGCTAAACTGGGTATTTAAATATTTTAGTGTTTTAAAGGTTTTTTTATCATAAAATCTTATTTTCTTATGGAGTTCATTTCTTCTGGTAAGAATTAACATTATTAACTTAAAATAAACATGTAGGTTATCAATTTGTTAGGGTAACTAACTGCCATTATATCACATTGACGTACATTATTTACATAACAATAAATCTGATATGATATGACTTAGTTGTTTGAAAATAACACATTTTGCTATAAATCTAATTATAGTTTATTTATGTTCCTCATATAGCATATTTTATTAATTTTATTAATTTAATAGTTATTTTCATTAAAAAGCGTACATGGTATTTTTATGTATGTGTAGAATGAATATTTTACTGTGCTTCATGTAAAAGCACTAGTTAGTTACTTTTGGTATATTATAATTCACAATTTATGATAAGTATCAAAATAATAACTCAAATTAAAATGCATTTGTGTGACCTCTACTAACTTGTTTATACTAAAAAGTTGATGCATCTGTTAAGGAAGGAAACTTTAACCTCGTAAGACCGAAGAGTAAATTGTGTCGACTTCTAAGTATCGCCGAATGTGCTTTCAGAAGAACGAATAATTTGAAGTAGTAAACGCCGAGCACTTCGAGTAAAAAAATTTCTATGTTAGAGATTTTCTTTTGCATTCATATTTTCAGGGGCCCTATATGGGTGTTTCTCTGCTATTTGGAAANAAATTGTACAAGAAGTAAAGTTAATATTCATGTTAATTATAATATTTACTAAACTAAAAATCAGAACGTTCTCATGGTAAATATTCTCAATCATATCATAATTTTAAAAGTCCAATACTCAATCCCATCTCAATAGAAAAAATATACAAAAATAAAACTTTCACCATCAAGACCGAATGTTCCTTGCAAAGAACTTTTATTTTTAAACTAAAAAAAATCTTACAAAACTACTTCAAATTGGGAAAAATAATTTTTTTGCTTGTTTAGCAGTATTTTAACTTAAATTATACTGGTCAGTTTTGCAATTAAACTCCGTTTACGTGAAGAAAAAAAATTAATCGCACATCATGTCTTCTTGGACGAACCACCTTGTCAAAGAAAAATGATAATTTGACAGTGACATTTTGTTTTTTTTATATTAATAAGTTCGGATACCTGATTTTGAATACTTTAAGCCATAGACTATCACTCTTTTCTTTCGATAGGCGCGAATTTTTGAACTTAAATTTATCGCTAAAGTTTTAGTTCCTCTGATGGCACATCCGGCGATACTTCGAAGTCACCTCCGAAAATGTCTCGGCGTTACTGACTACAAAGTTTCAGTTCCTTCTGAGGCACATCCGGGCTTACGAGGTTATGAAAAATGTTAATGGAATTAACTTTTTAATATAGATTCAAAGGCAGACATATTTTATTGTGTCATTCAATGACATGAAGATTAATTCTTAAGCTTGTCTGTGTGTAAGTCTTGTGGGAAAATACCACAGAATATCCTTATCCATAAATGTTCCTTACCTTATCTCCTTCATTATCATTATTAACCACGATTATCTTTTGTTTATTGTATACATTTTTTATTAATCCACATTGGATGTTTGAATTTATGAATACTGGATGACTAGTTTAAATGCGCTTCTGTCATAGATTTTTTCATGTTATGTTTTCACCTATTTGCTGTCTCAAGTCACTAAATCTATTTTAAAGCAACATTAAGTAGAAAAAAACTAATTGATGCTAATCATTAACTTAATTGATTTCTAATCTACATTCTTCACACATCAGTTAGCTTACAATATTTGTTTTGTAAGTTTCTTGCGAATATTTTAATGATTAGAAACCAGATAGGAATTAATTGGTTAATAATGATCAGTTGGCAGTAGTGTCACAATATTGAATAGAAAAAAACAATGCAAAGTTGTTTTTAAAATAACACCACACACACATCTACCCAATGATTTGTCTGATACAAACTATATTACTTTATTGACCCAGTTCTTAGTTATTTCCAATGCATTGCAAAAATAAAAAGTGACAACAAAGTATTTTTTACCCATAATTAAATTACTAATCAATACTGTTACAATCAACACCTTATCAGCGTGGTAATTATAACAAATACAAACCTTGTCTGGTGTGGTGACCGATATTACATGGCATTGGTGATGGGAGGTCAGCAAACAAGATAGTAGTAGTAGTGTATTTTTTCTGGAATAGCCAATATTATAATACCTACATCCTATACTAATATTATAAATGCGAAAGTAACTCTCTCTTTCACGCCTAAACCTCTAATTTGGCATAGAGATAGTTTGAGTCCCGGGAAAGGACATAGGATAGTTTTTATCCCGGTGTTTAAAACAGGGACGCGCGCGATAAAGTTTTTCTGTGACAGACAAAATTCCACGCGGGCGAAGCCGCGGGCAAAAGCTAGTAATCAATAAAGCACAGCACTATTGATGTGTGAGTATCATTGTTTTGTCTGTACTGTGTTTCAACTGTTGGGCAAAGGTTTCCCCAGATAGTTTTATGGACTCCAAAAAGTTATCAAAGACCAACATTTGGCACTACTTCTACTTGTCTGATGGTGTTTTCTTGGGGTGTCTACTGGGTGACGACTTGGGTCTTGAATAATTTAGGTGTGTAGGGCCAAATAATGTGGCTGGCACGTTCAGCTCTGCAGAAATAGCACAGTTAAAACGTTTTGTTAAGATATTTATTTGTAACGCTTCGGTGGACACTTCGTAACTTAACCATTCAAAAACTAGGTTAATAAGATGACGTTTACCTTACGCACCATAGTTTCTCTGACGCAACTGATAATTACGCCAGTTTTGACTATTGCGGAGAATGTACTTAAAAGGTATTACTGCTGTTACTGTAGCTAAGAATTCAACGTTATTTCCGTTTTGTTACAGTTAACAAGCAGATCAACGACAAGGAGCGGATTGCGGCTGCAATGGAGAACCCCAATCTAAGCAACCTGGTCGAGAACTGCATAGCTGACGAGGAGTAAATCGTACATCAAATCAACACAAACTGTTTCTGTATATCTGTACATAGTTCTATAAAAATGGCGCCCGACGTGGCATTCTCAAATATAAGCGACAAAAACGAATTCACAAAGTTTACAAAGTTCCTAGCTTATAAAGGTGTGCAAGTGATAGTGGAATCTAGGAAAGGTGTTAAGATTGAACCCAACTCTAAACCAACGACGCAGGATTCCGATTGGTTCAACCTCCAAATACCTGATTCTCCAGAAGTGAACCAAGCCACAAAGAATGCTCTGCCATCAGACAGAGTGCTGGAAACAATTCGGTCTCAGCTCCACGTTGAAATTTCAGTCCAAACCGAAGATGGCGACGAGATGGTACTTGAATTGTGGACTCTGGAACTGGACGAAACTCAATTCGACACCTCGTTGAAGGCTATGAACACCGTGTACTTCAGAATGGGCATTCTTTTGAAGTCTCTCATTACCACAACCAGAATTACACCCGCATATCATTTGTCCAGAAAACAAAGAACTGAATCATTCACAATTTTCTACAGAGTCTACAATGGAGAGCCTAAGACGAAGGCTCTGGGCGAACATGTAAAGAAGGTCCAAGCGGGATTGCTGAAGACGCCTTTAGGAGGGATTGGCTTCTCAGTCGTGTACCGCACAAATTTTTCCATATCACCAAACAAAAAAGAAAAGGACAAGACTTTGTTGCTGAAAAGTGACCATTTTGAGCTGAGCCCCAAGCACGTGATTTTCGAGTCCAAGAAGAAGAAAGAGGTAAAAGAAAAGGAGTTTAAGCCATTGAAGCCTGTGGATTTAAACAAGCCGTTGCGTCTTGCTGCGTTCACAGATGAAGAGGTAGTCCGACGGGCTTTCGAAGATTTTCTTGAGAAGTTTCCCGTCCCTAAATTCAGGGTCCACGTCAAGTCAAAAAGTCCTGTACAAGACATCCCAGTGGAGTCTAAAAGCACCCAGGAGTTGGACGTCACAATGTTATCCAAAAGTCCGACCTCTTTCGAGTCGCCTCCGAAAAAGTTTTCGGGTTTTCGGAACGAGCACGAACCTCCATTGAAGCTCCTTTGTTTTCCGTTCGCCGATAATCATCCTATAAGGGAGTTGGCGGAGTTTTACAAGGATTTCTTCAACGCTCCGCATCTGAAACTGACCGAGGATATAATCCCAAAGGCTAGGGACGACGACTCTTTGAAAGAAGAAGTCGAGATGCTGAGTGAGGATTTGTCTAAGGATCTGGAGCTGTACGAAAGTTCTGTCCTGGAATTTGACCAGCTGTTGGAGGATATGTGCAAGTCGGCAGAATGGGGTGGCAATTAGGGATCAATGGGCGGTGGACATTTTCAATATGACGTTTGTTGTACTATACATTTGTATTTCCATATTTTGTGACTGTGTTTTCTGTACAAAATTTTAAGTAAATGTTGAGAACCTAAAGAAGGTAGTAAAACTTGTTTCGGATACTTAAAACAAATTGTTCTTGATAGGGATGTGGACACCACTCATAATTAATTCCAAGTATCATTAGAAAAAGTTGTAAAAAGTCGAGTTTCTAAATGACTTTATAAAAAATCATTAATGGTTCGTCATTTCCAATGAAAGTGACGTCATAAACCTGTATATTTATATTAATTCTGTGAAGAACAATAGAGAAATGAAGTTTCGACAAATCATAAAAAGTATATCAACTGCTTGGTGGTGTCCACATTCAAAGTACACTTGTTTATGCCGAACGAAGTTATTTCCTTATAAAAATTGAATTATTTCTACATTTTCCTTGTTTTTGAATGACTAGACGTTTTTGTCTGATGATATTTAATATGAGTTTTTTGGTATACATTTTTTGCAATGAAAATCATATTGAAGAAAAGGTTTGAGATGCCTGCGAAACGGTTTAAGACTGAATTGTTATGGATATAATGGAATGACTGTCTTAGATACCACTCGAATTTGAAATGGATTGTATTAGCACTGTTTTGTTCACTTAACTATTTGCCACAACTGGATGCATTATACGGTCAGGTCAAAATGAACGCAGCCCGCAGCATGTATGAATTTGTCAATCTGTATGCATTTTTAGTCCAGTCATTATAGTAAGTTCACCTCGGAATTCGAGATACCCAGCTGTAAGTCTGTAAATACGTGTATATTGACACCCTAAAAGTTGTCTCAAAACCTACATATGGTAGGGTGTAAGCAACTATTAAATTTCAAGGTCAACGGTCACAAAAATCGGTTTTTTGCGCTTTTTTTAGAAATATCTCATTTCCTGTGGGTTTTTTGCTATTTGTATTTATTATCAATATTGTAGAATACTAAATTCTCTACAAATTTTGTTTAAAAACTTTTTTTATACGGTGAACCGTTTTCGAGATAGAGGGCGGAGAGCGCGCGGTCACTGCATCACTTCAGGTCTACTTAAGCGGTTTAGATTTTTCATACAAAAGGATTTTCCCGCTAATTCCTGTGGGAATTTCGGGAATTCCTTGTTGTAACTAAGCTTTGAGTTTACTAAGGTACCTACATGCCAAATTTCAAGCGTCTAACTTCCGTTAAGCGTTTAGATTTTTCATACAAAAGGATTTTCCCGCTAATTCCTGTTCCCGTGGGAATTCCTAAGTAAACTATAACCTGCCCAGGTGTATGAAGAATAATTGTACCAAGTTTCGTTAAAATCCGTCGAGTAGTTTTTGTTTCTATAAGGAACATACAGACGGACAGAATTCTATACATGAAATATATTTTCAAAATAACTATCAGGGGGTGATTAGTGATCGATACTGATGCCAAAAATGCAATCAGTAAAATTTTTGTCTGTCTGTCTGTCCGTCTGTATGTTCCTTATAGAAACAAAAACTACTCGACGGATTTTAACGAAACTTGGTACAATTATTCTTCATACACCTGGGCAGGTTATAGTTTACTTAGGAATTCCCACGGGAACAGGAATTAGCGGGAAAATCCTTTTGTATGAAAAATCTAAACGCTTAACGGAAGTTAGACGCTTGAAATTTGGCATGTAGGTACCTTAGTAAACTTAAAGCTTATTTACAACAAGTAATTACCGAAATTCCCACGGGAATTAGCGGGAAAATCCTTTTGTATGAAAAACCTAAACCGCTTAAGTTGACCTGAAGTGATGCAGTGACCGCGCGCTCTCTGCCCTCTATCTCGAAAACGGTTCACCGTATAAAAAAAAAAATTTAAACAAAATTTGTAGAGAATTTAGTATTCTACAATATTGATAATAAATACAAATAGCAAAAAACCCATAGGAAATGAGATATTTCCAAAAAAAGCGCAAAAAACCGATTTTTGTGACCTTTGACCTTAAAATTTAATAGTTGCTTACACCCTACCATATGTAGGTTTTGAGACAACTTTTAGGGTGTCAATATACAAGTATTTACAGACTTACAGCTGGGTATCTCTAATTCCGAGATTCTTACCTAATTTAAGCTTAAATGACTGGACTATTTGTATTGACAGTATTGACACTAAGGATAAATGGGAAAAATGATCCCGATTTTCACCAGTGGCGACGTATAACATACTTTCCCAGTTGTAGCTACTGGCTTTCTCTGGTGACGAATGAGAAAGCTATCGCCAGTGGGGACGTACGACACAAATATTGTCGCAAATGTCACCATGCAAGACATAATACGTAAAATAAGTCTGACCTGACCGCAGGCCGCATCCAGTGTGGACAAATGCTTTATTTCTACTTTTACTTACACTATGCAGTTGTACTGAATATTTTATATTTCTTTTATTGTGATTGTACAAGATGGCGATCCATTTGGTATAAGCTAAGGAACTCTGTGGCTGGTTGGAATGCGTTTTTTTAATGTAATATTATCATTGGGTCCATTTATAAATTATGCAGGTCAGATAGTTTTGGTGAGAATAATATAGTACCGGTTTGGTGTCGCTCCTTCTAACTAAAGTATATGTATGTACTACGTATTTGTCTCACCAAATTGTCAAAGAAACTGGTAACTCATTAATGGTACAGTCAGCGTCAAATAGTTGACCCAGTGGCCAAAAAGTCGCAACACGTCTTTGTTACATTGAATAAGGTTGTGTTGTCCACCTTTTTGGTCACTTTGGGTGTCAGGACCTTGACTGAATACCAATTTAGAAGGAATAATATGTGAGAAGAGCGATTAAAGAATCGGTAGGTATATATTGTTTTAGGCTAATTGCACACAGCCGGTGTCCAGCTGTATATCAGACTTCGTCTGATAAATTAGGAAAATTAACAAATGTATTATGGGTGTAGCACAATTTCTAAATGGTCCCCTGTATAAAATAAATATCAAAGTTACAGAGTAAGTCGTAAACACGTAACTACGTAGTTTTATAATGTGTAACGGCCTATACTATCTATTCGAAGTGTAGATATTGCAAAATTTTACTAATGTTACTCCGATGATAATGTTATACAATATTTGTATGGATGCATTCACTTGCTATTTAATTATATCTTTTTATTCCTATTCGATGTACAAAACAGTAAGTTCTACGAGGTTTTATATTTCTATGTTCTATAGCATTGACGGGGGAATTTAAAAATATCATGTCGTTACTTTTAAGCTCTCTTTATATTATGGATTACTAATGTTTGGCCAAAAAACTTTTCCCAAATTATCACATCGCAAACAACGTTTCGCAAATTTTCATTTGGCAAATTCTCATTTGGCAAAACAACGTATTGCAAACTTTTAATTCGCAAATATCGTTTTTGGCATATTATTGTTTAGTAAATTATTGTTTGGCAAAGTATGTTTTGCCAAATGTTTCATTTGGCAAAAATATTTCACGATGAACTATTTACAAAATAATTTTATTGTCGCATAGAATGGACTACAAATTAGCTTGTGGTTATTATTTTGTTTAGTGGTTAGATAATATAAAATTTGTTCTAAATTAATTTTCATATTTCATTATTTTTATCAAAATTTCCAAATGATTCATTAAACAATAGAGGTGATTCTAGCGCTCGGCGGCCGCTGCCGCGGCACGCTTCGCTCGCCTTCGCGCGTTAAGGGTCACTGTTCTAACCTAACCTAACCTACTATTTTCTGCGATACCTACTTTCTGCAACCATACTATTTTCTGCAATCTCTTTGTTTCACATAAAATTCTTGTGAAAACCATGATCTGCCTTATGCTTTGATTTGTGGGTAACGGTGGGTAAGTATGTGAAGTGTCAATTTGACCAAACAAATTAGTTATTTGGGATATAATATTTGGCAAAATAAAACATTTGCCATATAAACATTTGCCAAGTAAAATTTTGCCAAATGATAATTTGACCAAATGAATTAGTTGCGAAAAGTACAGTTGCTAAAAGTTCATTTGGGAAATGAAACTTTGGCGATAAGTTGTTTGCGAAGTGAAATTTGGCGAAAAGTAATTTGGCCAAACGGAAGGATACCTTATATTATAGTATGTGTACTGTCTAAAATTATATGAATAATAATAAATTAGATTTTATATGATCTAAACCCGTAATTACCATAGATTTCTAATGGCAATACAAAGATAGACGTCACTATATGGACTTATAATGTTTACAAAATAAATCCTTGCCCCTAGTTTATGTTATAGAAACTTAAAATAACATAAATAATCAGAACCACGAAAATAACGTTTGAAATATTCATTCCTTAAAAAACGTAGAACTTTAGTTGTTACCAGAAATTAAATTTGAATGATGTAATAATCTTTGAATTTGATTTCTGGTAACGTTTAAATGTGATTTATCTATTTAATTGTTTGGATTTAGTTTTTAGATGTGTAAAATATTTTGCTCATGTTTTGTAGATGATCCAAATAAATATCTTGGTTTAATTGTTTTTTTTTCATTATAGGAAACTTACAAAGGATAGCACGTCAAACTAAACACTTGGATCTTATGTAGTTGCAATAGGTGCGATTTTGCAACAAGTGTATAGTAATTCATGTGCTGTTGTCAGTGTCAATTTTAGGTAGTAAACTCGCCAATAATATAACAGAAGGCTAAAAGGTTTCCAATTCTTTAAGGTAGATTACTAACATCAGTTAATAAGAATGTTTTTGTCATTATTTATTAAATCATTTTCTTTTCTGTAGGTTTTTGATTTAGTCTGAGAGCCTAACAATAATTAGGTAAAGGGCGAAAGATTAAATATTATCAAAAATATTTGAAGACAAAATCTATTTGTGTCATCTTAACAAAGAATGAAAAATTGAAGCATTGGGAGCAACAAGGGCGTTCGGTACCGAAAGTCCGTTTTGATGTTATTATATCAAAACATGCACTGTACCATCTAGTTTAACATCTCAAAAACTGGTTTCGATCAGACGCTCCCTGATGGCGTGAAAATAATTTATGTCACAAGTGGCGCTACGCCCTTGTTGCACACAGTAACAAAAGTGCATTTAAATTCGACCTGTATGCAGTTTTTAAAAACTTATTAATGTAAAAAATGACTGAAGACTAATTTTGAGTCTTCCAGTGACTTGGCCCCCTTTTAGATTGGTCCACGGATCAAGTCGCCAGACTGAATTTTCAATTATTTATTCCTCCGGCAAATGGACTCACTCTAAAATTCTAGAGTAGATTTGTGTTGATTTGGTGTTTAATTTATTAACAAAAATATTGAAGGTCCACCTTTTTAGCTCTGGAAACAGCGGCAACCAGTTTAAAAAAGAAGAAAATATTTAAAAACTCAATCCGGCGACTTGGTCCGTGGACCTAGCTAAAAGTGAGCCAAATGAGTGGTTGAAACTGGTCCTGACCTTCTATGCAGGCCTGGAGGATCAGGCTGGACCTTCCAGGCCAGTTGCAGCTGATTCGGAAAATTCCCTTCAGTCTAGTGAATATTTTGATGAATCTGATTAAAACACGAAAGTCGGAAAAAATATTAAGAAAGTTTAATATTTTAACGGTGATTGTAATAAATACACATGTTTGACTTACATTTTAATTAAAATTAATAAAATAAGTATTCAAATTGTTATTTATTTTCCATAAAAAATAATAATTTAACTAACGCCCTATCTGTTTACCAGTTTGGTGCAACAAGGGCGGATAACACAAGTAAATAAAATCGCATTTTGAGATGTTTCCGATTGCTTTAAAATAGTTATAATACCTTAATCTTATTGCTAAATCATGGGACTAACAAATAATAAAGTAAGTGTAAGTCAAATTATAAACATTTAAAAAATATAAGACATTGAAACTTACATCGTCAATTTTCTCAAAACTCAATTTTACGAGATACGCCCTTGTTGCACCCAATGCTTCAATTGTACCTCATGTCCACGGCACTAGGACATTTCTTGTTTGACAATAAGGAATTTTCTGATTTGCAAAAATTTTGATTAAAAGATAGCCCTCCTTCTGGCGCAGTCGGTTAAAAAAATACATTCATGGCTGAAATAAAACAACATTCAGTTTCATAATCTTAGAATGTAACTTAAAATACATTTAATTAATATGTACACATTAATATTACTTTAGAAGTGCGCTGTCAGTCGGTCTATTTCGTAGAGGTCAGCCGCTATTTCCTCCACTTTTGTACCTATTTTCTTTGCAATCTGTAAAAAAAAAGAGAAAAAAATCATTAAGTATTTCTATATTAATTCCAACTACTGAAGCCTTGCTTCAGCAAAAAGATGTTCAGCCTGAGAATCGAACTTGGAACTCAGTCGAGTGAAAGCAACATAACCAACGGGACAAGGGACTAACAAAAAGGTAGGCCTTTGACAATAGTAAGTTATTTACTTTATGCAAATATTCTTTATTTACATATAGAATATTAGCAACTACAGGTCTTCGCATTATAATTACTATACTTTAACATTTACCATTTATCTGAAACCTGCTATGCTATGCAAGAATATTAGACACTACGAAGCTTTTACGATCCTCTAGAACAGAGGTTCCTAAAATTATTTTGTCTATTGCCCACTTTGAGAATAAATTATTTTTTAGCGCTGCATGAAATAAAAAAATTAAATAGCCTAACGCCCGTATTCACAAACAATACTATGAGGTCTCACAGTGCGCGTGGACGCACAGGATGACACACGAACCAATCACAGATCTCTATTCAACGCTGTGCGTTCGATTTGCTGCTTCACCTAAGCAAGTATCGTTTGTGAATACGGGCGTAAGTCTTTACCTACACAACGCCTCGAGTTTTTTTCTGGGCCTCACCCTTTCGGCCTGCAGCGCCCACAAGGGGGCGATACCACTGGGAAAAGCTGCTCTAGAATTATATGCAAGAAACCTCTATAAAAACAACTAGAGGAGGGGATTGAGGGTTCCCTCGAAGCCAGAGACAGGGGTCGGCAACCTTTTGAGTCGGAAGAGCCAAAAATTACTATTTACAAAATTTCAAGTTTTTAAAGAGCCACAAATTTTTTTCTTGCCAACAATAAATAACCTCTACACTAAATTTTAATCACCGAAAAAAAAAATTCTGGGTAATGAGTTATTGATACTGATCCCATTTGTGCAAAAAAAAGAGTAAAATAAAGCGACTCAAAATATCCTCCTAAAATTGGTAATTTATTGACACACGCGTCGCGAGCACTATTTACGTACGATAATGTAACACTTATTAGAATTCAAAATGGTCTAAGTTAGCTAAGTATGTAATAATAACACTGGAAGCGTGGTCGAGGCGTGAGCGAGACAGACAGATCGAGGCAATATGCGAGCGCGTACGACTACTCTAGCGAGCAGCGGAGTGACCCAGCTGTGACGCGTGAAATACGGATTAACGAAAATTTAATAAAAAAATTAACTTCATGAAAACAATTTCTTTTTCTTTTGCTTTCAATATTCCACACGTTTCTACATAACCTGTTTAAATTTTTTCGGTGATAAAAATTTAGTGGTGTATAATTTCATAGTTTGTTGATAAAAAAAGTAATCTATTTATTCATAAGAAAAATATATATTTAAGAAAAGTGAGTATAATTAGCTGAGAGATAGAAGTAATGTCTAAACCTCATTAATCGTTACAGAACATTTTTTTATTATAAAATAATTAATATTTGCGAATGGAACTAAAGAGCCGCAGCCTTACATCCAAAGAGCCGCATGTGGCTCGCGAGCCGCAGGTTGCCGACCCCTGAACTAGGACAATAACTCGCCGCTCCGTTTCTTAGGGCTCTGGTAAAAACCGCCGGGTTAAGTTGGTAGGCCCCGCCTTTAGTGGGTAGGAGGGGAGTCCCACATAACCCACTGGCCGTCCACATCGACCAGTATGTGTGTGGGTATGCGCAAAGCTTTTAGTTTTCAGCCAAATGACGTCCACTGCTGGACAAAGGCCTCCCCCAAGGTTTTCCACAATGAACGGTCCTGCGCTGCCCGCATCCAGGCTCTTCCCGCGACCTTTACCAGATCGTCGGTCCACCTAGTAGGAGGCCTGCCCACGCTACTTCTTCCAGCCCGTGGTCGCCACTCGAGAACTTTCCTGCCCCAACGGCCATCGCCTCTACGAGCTATGTGCCCCGCCCACTGCCACTTGATTTTAGCAATTCTGCGAGCGCAAAGCTTTACCCGACGTAAAAAAACAAAAGAATTATATGCTATAGTCTGGTCCGTCGCGACTGTGCGACAGGCGGCCGCAGTGAGTGTGCGAGCGCGACAGCAACATAATTGCGCGCGAGCGATAAGGATGGGTAGCTTGGGGTCATTGGACAAAATTCTACGTGCTCCTCACAGACCAGACTATAGAACAGAACAGAAGTACTCACGTCGTGTTGCTCAGCGATAGGCATGAGCGGGAACAGCGCCACGAGTTCTCCGTCCAGTACACCGCGCGCCACGCCGCCGCCTTGCTTGCGCGCCGATTTGTATGTTCTGAAGGACAGACAGATTGTTATTGATTTTGGCATGGAAAGTAATAATGCATTGTGTGAGAATTGTAGATGAAACAGTCTGGAGCAGATCAGCAGGATTTGTGAAGGTAACTAGTTGTTCGGGATTCCTTATGTTATTGTTGAAGTATACACTGTTTCATGTTTAAAACGGTTTACTGTTAGATAAAACAGAAATACATTAGATTTGTGTGAACACTAGTTTTATGTCCTGACAAATAGATTATTATAGCTAAAGCCCGGTCTTCGAGCACGTAGAATTTTGTTCAATGACCCCAAGCTACCCATCCTTATCGCTCGCGCGTGATTATGTTGCTGTCGCGCTCGCACACTCACTGCGGGCGCGCGTCGCACAGTCGCGACAGCAATATAATTACGCGCGAGCGATAAGGATGGGTAGCTTGGGGTCATTGGACGGGATTCTACGTGCTCACGGACCAGGCTTTAGTTCTACGTCCCCATAGATATTATAGCTAGTTGACTTCGTAAGGATTTAGGTACTTTTATGCCCGTTTTCACCATCAATCCCTAATTTTCAAGTGACCTCTATGGTAACACATAATATGAATTTAGTTGTATAGCCTGACCAGGAACATAAAAACCCTGGCATAGAGGCGCGTCAATTGCATTTGACAGTGCAACACTGAGTACAGTCGTACCTGTGTTAAATTAATAGGCTAACTTTATGTATCAGGAATCAGGATTACGGGCTAATTTGATATTTTCATAAATTAATGAAAAAATATTATTATAGGCAACCTGGTTTAAATAAATTAAATGAAACCATCAATCGACTTAGTAGGTTTTATTTTATTATTCATCAATAATTAAATTCAGAACTTGAATATTCAACTGCAATGTCTGCTCATGAACGGCGAACGCTTCAAACTCGGTACTTCTTTCCCAATTCCATAAAATTCAACACTTAGAAAGAGATAAAAAACTTTAAAATAGGTAGTTGAAACAAACCACAGCTAATTTTCGTAGTGGACTGTACTATACGATAAACATGTCAGTCAATTTGACAACCTTTGTCGGAAACATTATTCAATGAAAATATTGTCCGAACCCTTAGTATTTCTCTTCGACAAATACTTTAACACTTTGTGAACCACTTTTCTTTCACGACTATAAAAAGATTTTAGCAATATAATTCACAAAATCAATTGCGCACATTTAAAATAAAGTTTGTTTACACTTTGACAGCAATAGACTGACATGCAAGGTGACATGTCAATGAAGTTTTCAGTTACTGTTGCCATTAAAAGAAATTAGTACCATTAGTTTTCCGCAACATGGCGAGGGTTTTTATGTTCCTGGTCGGGCTATACCTTGTGTGTTCCTTTTCTTTCTGTTCTTATCTTTGGTGTGCAATAAAGTGTATTTATTATTATTATTTGTTTTCATAGGGGTCACTTAAAAATTAGGGATTGATGGTGAAAACGGGCATTAGTGGCTGTCTCCTCTCCCGGGAGGTGTATGACGTAAAAATTGGAAATCGGTCGTTGTGATCCATTTGTGGAAATCCTTAGGGAAGGCCTTTAGCGGGCACTTTATGTCACTTGGCTGAAACAAACTAACGGACGGCAGCGTCACCACTCTTTCATCACAGAGCCAACGCAACACATTGTTAACACTCGGGTGGCGTAAAATTATGTATCCGTCATACTATAATGTATAATCTGCCTAATTAAAAAAAAATACAATTTAACCTAACCTAAGTCCTAACCCACTAGTTTACAATCTCACGCGTTATATTATAAACTGACGGAGTTCACAATATTTCACGTTGACATAATAATTATCTAAGGCTTGATTTCCTCCTACGCTGACGTCGGTCGCGTACATCGGTCGAGCGTACGAATAAACACAATGTTCTATGAAGCACCGCACTGCAACGCCGTCGTCAGCGGCAGATAATTACATAGAACTAGTCGGTCATCGACGTCAGCCTAAGAGGAAATGTCTGTCTCCTTCCTAAAGTTGCTGTGCCCTAACTGGGTCCACATTGTATAACTGCCTAAATTGTAAGACCTAATGTGAATGCTAATGTCGTCATGCAAAATAAACTATTGAGTATTGAAAAAAAATCAAGCCTTAGCGTCTTACCGGTGCGCGCGCGGGTTGAGTCCGGCGACGTGGCAGCAGTAGTTGTTCATGACGTTTTGCAGCATCAGCAATCGACGGTATACCTTCTCACTGACGGGTAGCACGTAGCCTACGCCGCCGTCGAGGGTCGCTGGAAGATACAAAGATATTTTTAAAACTATTGAGTAGCAAAGAAAGACTCGGAAATGAGAAGATAGGCAGAAAAACAAAAGTAACCATCTTAGCCCGCAGAATTGCCAAAATAAGCGGCAAGATTTGGGCAAGTAGCTGGTAGAACTGATGGCCGTTGGGGCAGAAAAGTTCTCGAGTCGTGACCACGAGCCGGAAAACGTAGCGTGGGCAGGCCTCCCACTAGGTGGACCGACGATCTGGTGAAGGTCGCGGGAGGTGCCTGGATGTGAGCGGCGCAGGACCGGTCTTTGTGGAAATCCTTGGGGGAGGCCTGTGTACGTATGCCTGCGTACCTATATTGGTACTGTAGGAAAGTTGTAGCATTTGGATAGTAGAATCAATCCTCTTCTTTGATCCTTACCTACACCCTGACCAACAAAAAATATACAATAGGCTAGATGACAAAATTTTAATTATTTGTCCGTCAGACAGATTATTAGAAAATATTAGACTCATAAATTTAATTTTCTTTCATAATTAAATAATAACAGTGCTACATTGAGTTGAAATGGCGCGTTACGTCACGCTTGAGTAGATTTTTTACTCAAAAGTGACGTTACGCAAAATTTTAACTCAATATAACACTGTAATGGCATTATTTTATTGTTTGATTTAATTTATTTTGATGATTTTGACATTGTTTTATTTTCTCTATAATTTCTGACGTATACTTAATTATTTTCATGTAGTAAATGACATAATATTTGTAATTTATTCTTGTAGAAATTATTTAAATATTTGTACGCTGACTAATTATACAGCAAATTTTGACGCTCTATTTATAGTTTTAAGACCATTATGTTTACCCAAAATTGTGCAAATAAATATTTGAATTTTGAATTTGTACGCTGACTAATTATACAGCAAATTTTGACGCTCTATTTATAGTTTTAAGACCATTATGTTTACCCAAAATTGTGCAAATAAATATTTGAATTTTGAATTTGAATTTGTAATTATTCGATTATGAAAAAAAATTAAAAAATATGTGTCCAAAATTGTTTTATTATCTGTCTGACGGACTAAATAGAATTTAGATTTTATTACCCAGTCATCATCCCTATAATCTTCTATATAAATAAAAATGTATTGATGTTCGTTAGTCTGATTAAAATTCGAGAACGGCTGGGTCGATTGAGCTGATTTTGGTTTTAAAATGTTTGTCGTAGTCCAGGGTAGGTCTGAACGGTGAGCAAATACGCGCGCGATATTGTTTTTCTGTGACAGACAAAATTCTACGCGGGCGAAGCCGCGGGCGGAAAGCTAGTTAATGAATAAAAACTCACTGAACATAGTGACGTGCCGGCGCAGCTTGTCCCCGGGCGAGTGCCGCGCCGCGATGCGGAACATGGCGTGCACCTGCTGCCCCAGGTGGTAGTCGCACTTCTTGATCAGCCGCTGGCCTGGCGGACGGACGACCCACGTCATATATTTATTTAGGAAAACCAGAATTTTACAGTGTGTAATAATGACATAAGATAGGCAACGAGTAAACCACTTATAGGTTCCCACAGGTAAAAACAATTTAAAAATAATTAACTTTTTAAAAAAATAAAACCGACTTCAAATGCGTGAACATAAAAAAAAACTAAAAATTAAAAATATTGCGTATAAAAAAGTTCATCCCCAATTTTCCACCCTTGGGGGTGAAATATTTTCTTCAAATTCGCATGAAACCACCCTTTTGATAATACCTATTCAACAAAAAAATAATCGTTCAAATTGATTTATAATCGGCGGAGATATTGCGTATAAAAAAGTTCATCCCCAATTTTCCACCCTTGGGGGTTGTTTTTTCTATTATTAAATTAAATGGGACCACCCTTGAGGTATTACCTATACGCCGAAAAAAGATTTGTTCAAATCGGTTCATAATTGGCGGAGTTATCGCGTAACAAACATAGAAAAAAAAAACATACGGGTCGAATTGAGAACCTCCTCCTTTTTTGAAGTCGGTTGATTATTATGTCTAGACAGTTCTAGTATTGAAAAAATAGGAGCGAACAGTAGCAGATAACACTAAGGCTGAGTTGCTTGCACCATCTTACTTTAAGAGTAAGAATAACAGGTGCTTTTTGTATGGAGTTTGACAGATATTTGACGTTTGTTAAAGTTAAAGTAAGATGGTGCAACTGAGCCTAAGGGTGGATTCGACCAAACAAGAGTAAATATTAATCTCAGAATAAATGGTCAGTTATTCGATATTTTGACATAATATTTCCCATACTAAAACTGTCAATGTGCCAGTTATACCAAGAGTTATTCTCGGATTAAAGTTTAGTCGAATCGGGCCTGAGTCGGATAACTTTTAGCTGAAGAGAAAGTTTGGTAATAGACAGTTCCAGTATGGGAAATATGTCAAGAAGTCTTCTTGTTTGAGGGCAGATTTTTCAATCGTCAGATATCTTTTAACTGAAGAATAAACATGCCATTTTGACATATTTCCCATACTGGAACTGTCAATATGCCAAACTTTTTCTTCAGATGGTTGAAAAATCTGCCCTTAAGGAAACAATGGAAGATCTTGTCAATAATACAATGCTAGAAAGTACAAGTCGCACAGCAAAGGTTGAGGCGAACGCGATACTCACACTGATGTATTATTTGCATACAGGAATACACAGCACATTACACATTTAAGTTAAAATATCGAATACCTTGCTCTTGTTAAATGAGACGAATATGTGGATCGCTTTTTTTAGGCGGTCAAGCTGTAGATCCAGGCTACACAGGAGTTGCAGCGGTGGGGACGAAAGGTGGGAATAGTCCTCCTGTAAACTAAGGGCTACTTACCGCCATAGCTCTCTCTCGCCTGAGGCTGGTACATAAACAGCGCGAGGTTGCCGTCCGCCTCGCTGACTAGAAAACCGAGGCTCGTGTTGTCCACCATGAACTCCATCTCGTATATCTGTGTGAGAAAAAACATATAATACAGACATCAAGGATAAAGACATTTAAGTTTCCACAGATAGAAATAGCTCATATACATAAAACGAATGATATGATATCGCGGGCTTACTTTGAGAACAGCTTTTAGGTCACAACGGTCAGTCACTTGCTTTTTTAAACCTTTTATGAACTACATTTTTGAACGCTTTCGAAAATGTTATTAATTTTATATTGTGCTCTCCACATGTTCCAAAAATTATTTCATGTGCTTTTTGATATCACCACATCAAGGCAAAATTGCTGACTTTAAAAGGAACACATTTAAATCCCATATACCCGGCTACAGTCTAATTTATTTATTTATTTACAACAATGGTCCAAAGACTCCGTCTAAAAGTTTGAGATTAGAAATAAAATCTACATTCGTTTCTATTCTAATAAACGTACAAACCCATGCACACATCAGATACCTAAACACAAGTGATAGCGTCCTGTCATGTCAACCTGTGCTGTGTTTGTGCGGTAATAGAGCAAATTTTATTAACGAAGTTCTAGATACTACCCTAAACAAATGCTTCTCATCTTACAACCTACTAACCTGTGCACTCCTCAGGTCTCTCGACACAAGTGATAACGTCCTGTGCTGTGCCTGGTACCGCAGTAAGGAGATGGATTTGTATACATCTGCTACGAGCACCAGATTCTTGACGGCGAGCATTTGTGCACGTATACAATACAGTACCTATAGAAACGCTTCTAATCCGATAAACGTACTAACCTGTGCACTTCTCAGGTCTCCTCACACTAGTGACAGCGTCTTATGACAATACAACACCGTTCAAGATTTTAGGCTGCTACAATACTACCCTAAACAAATGCTTCTATAGTCTGGTCCGCGAGCACGTAGAATTTTGTCCAATGACCCCAAGCTACCCATCCTTATCGCTCGCGCGTAATTTATGTTGCTGTCGCGCTCGCACACTCACTGCGGGCGCGCGTCGCACAGTCGCGACAGCAATATAATTACGCGCGAGCGATAAGGATGGGTAGCTTGGGGTCATTGGACAAAATTCTACGTGCTCGCGGACCAGGCCTTAATCTGACAAACCTACTAACCTGTGCACTCCTCAGGTCTCTCGACACAAGTGATAGCGTCCTGTGCTGTGCCTGGTATCTCAAAAGAGAGATGGATTTGTATACATCTGCTACAAGCACCAGATTTTTGACGGCGAGCATCTTGTGCACGTATATTTGCGTGTCTATGAACGCCACGCCCACCAGGTCGTTGTCTTTGAGTTGCCAGATGTAGATCTGTAGGTTGAATTAAAATTAAAAATATTTCATTGAAAAATCACATTCGTTTCAAGGTTATTTTTTTATGTGACAGGAGGCAAACGAGCAGACGGATCATCGGATAGGATGTAAATGATTGTTACTCTTTCTGCAAAAACTACTAAATGGATTTTGATGAAACTTTACACAGTATTATTGACTACATGTCAGAGTTAATTGGTCAAATTACAATGATAAGTGTTAGCCTAGGCGCAGACCACCGATTTTTAGTTGGGCGATAATTGGATCGGGATGTTGATGAGTATGGAGATGTATGAAAGTGCGCATATTACACTGATTGGGTATCGGCCGATTCTTCATACAAATTAAAATCGGTCCAAACTATCGGCCAACTAAAAGTTGGTGGTCTGCATCTAGGCTTAAATAAGTCAGTTTTTCTGCGATAAATTAAATTGAACGTAAGCAAAAGGCATTTATCTAAAATGATAACTACTGTAACAAGTTCGTAAGACAGCTCTTGGATGAAACATTGATGATGACCTACAAGGTAAACCGACGACATCATAAAGGTAGCAGGAAGGAGCTGGACGCAGGCTGCTACTAACAGGTCAACATGGTAATCATTGGGGGAGGCCTATATTTAGCAGTGGACGTTCTATCAGGCCTGTTCATCTCCGCGAGTTTACATCGAAAACAAAACACGCACGATGGCCCACCTACAGGATACTATTCGACAAGGCCTCACATACGAGCGAACATTGACTTTCGCACGCGTATTCTTGTGTATGATGGAAGAAAATAAAGAAAATGGTGTACTAAATACTGTGCAGTGTTTAACTGCCTAAATAATAATAAAAACACAGAATGTACTTTTTTAAGTTGCCTCAAGACACTGAGAGGTAAATAAGTAGTTAATATTATTCATGATAATTCATGCTAAATCATGTATTTCCTCCGCCATTTTCCGCAGTTTGGCACCTCACGTCACATCATTTTACCGAAGTCAGCCCTATAGCTTCGGCGCAGTGCCGATCACTGACGTTTGTCAACAAAATGGTGCTTGACTCTTGAGACAGGCTAAATTAAACCATATTGTTAATGACATTGAGCATAGGTACATTTTTTTTAAATACCTTCGCGAAGTAAAACTTCTGTACGTAGTACTTATTATTATTCTGTGGTTCTATGGCTGAAATAATGATGATGACGATGATTAATGAGAAATATTATAGTTACCTTTTGCCCCACAGCAGATATCAGATACCCCAGCACTTGCGTCAAAGCCGTGACGGGGCCTTTCTGTTCCTTCGCGTATAACTCCTTAAACCTGTTCTTGGTGAGCGGCTGACCTGGCTCCGGAACTACGTCTATGATGTCGTAGATTATTATCTGGAATTAAGAACAATATCATAGCATTAGTATAGGTCGCGCAGCGAGAGTTGATTTGAGGCAGTGACACAAGCAAAGATTTGTATAGATGAACTACAAACTGTCCCACTAAACACATTGACAGGGGGCGCCACCGTCGATCAACTATACAGGGGGAATTTTGTAATGCCTGGAGGGAAATTACTCTTAATACTGTACATTGAAAATTTTACTCAAAGAAAACAACATTCCTTTATTTCTTAAAAGAAAGACAACTGCATTCAAAGATTTCCGATTTTTTTTTGAAAATTCTCCATCATACAATACAATTTTCTGTAAATAATTACAATAATTTAAGATTTCAAGGTTTTCCATTTGGCATTACAAAATTCCACCCTATATAGTTTCCAACGTGGCAAAAGTCAGAACAGGTGAATGACGGTAGCGCCCCGCTGTCACTGTCACGGGTGGGACGGTTCGGTGTAGTTCCTCTATCTATATTCGTTATTTGAATTTGAATGTTTTAACGTCCACGTCCACAAATAGCACAAACACATATTATGGTTGCTGTAAGTCATTGAGGACTTTGGTAATCTGCAGGTGGCCTTAGTTAACTTAGTTTTTTCAGTATTTCCATGAATTGATAAGTTTATAATGGACCATAATTAGATAAGCAGAGCAATATGAAATAAGTTTCTCACCCTTCCTCTTGAGGTGATGTCCTCGCTGTAGTTGTAATTTGTTCCTATTGCTATGTAACCGCGAAGTCCTGATCTGCAAAAGTAAATGTAATTTAAGAGGATGATACTAAATTAAAGAATACAAAAAAATTAAATGGTACCTAAAGAGAGAATGGGACTAATACCATATCTCGTTCCCATCGCTGCAACTCCTGTGTAACCAGGATCTACAGCTTAACTGCCCATAAAAATGTAACCAGTGCAATTGCAAACCAAGTTTGTCCCGGAGGAAAGTTAAACCGAGAGTGATACGCAACGAAACCAATCAGAATAAAAGCTTGTAAAAACATAGGAGTTTAGAGTGAAATGTCCTTTTGAGGCCGGGTGGAGTTCGTTCCAGAGCGAGCGATAGCCTAGGACGGTGTGTCTGTCCAATAGGACAATAACTCACAGCTCCGTCTCATTGAAAGAAAGAAGGAAATATACATTTATTACGCCCCGGGTGCCAACCCATGCTACGCCGCCACTGGCCCTGGAGAGACGGTTACCTGGTGTCCTTCTGAGACAGTTACCTGGTGTCCTTCTGAGACGGTTACCTGGTGTCCTTCTGAGACGGTTACCTGGTGTCCTTCTGAGACGGTTACCTGGTGTCCTTCTGAGGTGGATACCTGGTGTCCTTCTGAGACGGTTACCTGGTGTCCTTCTGAGACGGTTACCTGGTGTCCTTCTGAGACGGTTACCTGGTGTCCTTCTGAGGTGGATACCTGTTGTCCTTCTGAGGTGGATACCTGTTGTCCTTCTGAGGTGGATACCTGGTGTCCTTCTGAGACGTTAGAGGTCTATTTTGCAGTTTTGCCTCACCTATCGCCTTAAACCTCGCAACCGATTTTGATGAAATTTGGCATAGAGATAGTTTGAGTCCCGGGAAAGAACATAGGATAGTTTTTATCCCGGTTTTTGAAACAGGGACGCGCGCGATAAAGTTTTTCTGTGACAGACAAAATTCCACGCGGGCGAAGCCGCGGGCGGAAAGCTAGTAAATAAATAATTCGTAATCGTGACTCATATCACTGGTGATACATGCTTGAAGAATTTGATTTGAATTTGTGGTTATTATTTGAATACCTACATTTAATCTATATTATATATAATGCTCAATAATAGTAGATTGTGGTTAATTTACAAGCGCGAGTCATGTGTTTCATTGAAAACCAGTATCTAATACATGACCTATCTTAAATGCAAGGAAAAAACTTAAAATCGACATTTGAATTGCATATTGATTCAAGGTTCAAGCATGTATTACCTGATTTATATTACCTACTAGCTGACCCGGCGAACTTTGTTCCGCCTTAATGGCAATAATAATAATATAATAATAATAATAATAATAAGCCCCGCAGGGCAGCTTTGTGGCGAGCTGTTGGTGAGTAGCGACACCACGGGGCCAGTTGTTAACCCGAGTGCTCCCGAGAGTCGGTCAAGACCCTCGTCTTCGGCTTGCCGAAGTGGAATCCGAGAGGGTCTGCAGGACTTTCACCTCTGGCTTGCCTTAACCGGCCGGCCAGAGTGGAGTCGCTAGAGCTATATGCTCCAGGGGTGGAAGTGTTAAAGGGCATAACGCCGCGAGTAACCTCGGAGAAAGCGCAGCACACCTCTCTACACCCCTGAGCTGGCAGACGCCAATGTTGCCCCTCAGTCCGGTCTATACGACCCATGACGCCAGGGGGGGCCCATTTAGTCGCTGGCTAGTCACCGCCTGCCATTTTTTCAGTCCGAGACTATGAACCAGGCAGGTGACCCGTAGTCTCAATCCATAGCCCAGTAACCAGTCCATCCATCCTTCATCCATAACCCTAGTCCATTCTCCAATAACTGCAATAGCTCCTGTGCACAGGCTGGGGCTGGTCTCTGGCTACATCCCATGATATAGTCAGAGACTAGATCCAGCATGTGCACCACTTTCACTTTTATCGATTATTTTGCGCTTAAAACGGCCTCTACGTGTTGGATCTGTATCCCCACGCAAGCCTTATAAAGGACCGGGCCACTTTTGACCCGTGAGCTCCAAAGCGTACAAACATAATAATAATAAAACGTTTATTTCAGACATTACATCCATATGTGTTAGTAACATGATAATCTTAATCTAGTGTTAGTAATAAGCTAATGATAATTAGGTAGGTAGATAATTATTTATTTATGTAATATGGCTTCCAGTGTGACTCCTGCGCTATAGGTATTCATAGCGAGTGACCGGAGCATGAAGCTGCAGCCAGCGCGCGCAGAATGCTGTTCGAGCTGCCGCGCACCCGCGCCCACAGCGAGGCGCAGCGCTTTCTGATGATAGTGTAGAAACAATCAGTCTGCGCCTCAGCAAACATGGCTGATGCACTACAGTGTCGCGGCAGGCCGAACAACATCCTGAACGCGTTATTGT